AAAAAAAAAAAAAAAAAAAAAAAAAAAAAAAAAAAAAAAAAAAAAAAAAAAAAAAAAAAAAAAAAAAAAAAAAAAAAAAAAAAAAAAAAAAAACCGAAGAAAATGGAGAGAAACATTAGAAAAGCTTGGGAAAACTTGGGAAAACTTGGGAAAACTTGGGAAAAATGGAAACATGAGTAATATGAGTAATATGAGTATTGTGATTATTATGTACGATATATGCGTGTATGTGAACTGCAACCATCTAATGTGAGTATTATTGACATTGCATCAAGACAGCGGATATTAGTAGTAATAGTAGTTTAGATGCTGTGCCATAGCAAGTCAAAGACGGTCCCCTACTTAATGCTCTCATCCTAATCAAAGAATTACGTGATAGGAGTCTTGTACCGTGCTCTTATGGGGTATATGCTGTAGTTGGTGGTTTGTTTGCAAGGGGACATATGCTTAGAATTGAACTGACAATAACCGAAGAACTCTATTGCACAGAGAGAGACAACTCTCTTTGACGTATGAGAATTATTGTAACATGAATTTCAGACAGGACAATAAATCAGATCGAAGTATTGAAGAAACGTAATTACCAAGTCTTACTGCAAACGAGTCGGTTGAACGACGTTGTAGTCACACAACATTGACATGACCACGTTTCATGTTGAATCAAACAGCGGTCACGAAAAGTAGGCGGGTGTTTCACGGTGCAGAAACCGTAGCATCCTTGGAAAGCTTCTGCTCTTCACAGAGCTTCTTTGCATGCTTCATAAAAGACAGCAGTCGCTGGCGCCGGTAGTAGATGTTTGTCAAGTCGATATGTGCGCTGGCCTCCGCGTCATTCTGACCAGTGATGAGTATGAGCATAAAGAATGTCTCGATAATGCTGGGAGGCACGTTCGAAATCAACTGTCCAGTGAGACTCCACTTCATCGCGCTTGAAGCGACAAGACAACCAATGGTGAGGAAGAAGCCAGCGATAACCATTGTAAGATGGGAGCTGACGACATTCATCCAGCGGGAGACGCGCTGGCTCAGAGACGGGCGCTTGGTGCTTCCAGTTGAAGGGATAGCCACTGACAGTCCCGCGAAGAGTCCCAAGTCTCCCTTTTCCACAACCCGAATCTGACGATGGATGTACTGTTGCACCTTGCCTTGGATGTTGCGGAGGACGAAACTGTCGAACAGACCAACCAACCCTGCATACGTGCCGATGAGCAGCCACCAATTACTGTTAAAATGAAAAATAGGTCCGACAGCTGCCCAGGCGATGATTACCAGCACGAGGAAGATCATGCCGACCAAGGTGCCAATGACGTCGGCGTAGTAAAAGATCAACACCTGCAGGAAGTTCTCCTTGGGAGGCAACCCAACCTCCCTCTGGTTCGGCAGGTCATCCTCGCTGAGGCGACGAAGCTCCTTCTCGAGAGTCGCATCGAGTCGGAAGATGGCGTCCAGGCAGATATTCGTATGTTCGGCATAACATTCCCGCAGACAGGCCAGGAACGCAAATACCAGTACCATCAGCGCCGATGTCGCGTCGTTGATGTAGAGTTGCCACCGATTCGACCAACTGCAATGCGGGCCGAATCCCAGCCAGATGAAAATGCAGACCCAGTAAAGACCGCCGCTGACAACATGTCCGAACGTCTTGGCCGAGACGATGACGCACCGGGCAAAGAGAGACTGCGTGCGCCCCTGGTCCAGCGCTTCGAGAGGCTCAACATTGCACTTCTCGGAGACACGACGAATCCCTTCCGCTCCCAGCTTCTTCTTGACACTGGCGATCATGCGTTGATGACTGTTGCACCGAGACTGAATCTCAATTATGGCTTCGCGCTGCTCAGAGTACTCGCGGAGCAGCTGGCGCATGAGGAAAGAATCGAACACATAACATAAAATAGCTTGAACGTCGGAGATAGCAGCAACCCAGACGTCCGAGTTGCCGAAACGAATGCCCATCAAGGCCCACGTTAACAGGCCAGCGATGATGAATAGAAAGACTGGGGCCGACCCAGCCAGCCTGACTGACGCATCAAGCCAGCGGTCCACCAGTTTCGGGCTCGCCTTGACCCTGTACCCGGAGACATCTTCAGTAGTCACCACGATAGCGGTATCAACTTTTACATCCTTCCCATTTGTCACCCGCTGCGTCTCTGCCGCCCCCTCAAACTCGCATCGAAAGACAGGCCTGAAGTATTTCATCGTGGTCGACCAAAACAATCACTGCTGGATGTTAGATCCAATACGGAGCAATTGTTCGGGCCTTCAGGCTCATTGACCCGCAGGGTAGTTAAGGTGGACGAGTTGCGTTTGCAGACTCGCGAGAAGATTGCAGCCCAGCCAACGCGCCTGGGATCGAGGAGGAGATGATAGAAACAAGAGAGTCCATAGAGCGAGGATCAGCCATTCAGAGCCAAAGACCAGACACTTTGTGTCTTGGGATATTGCAAATTAGTGGGTGAGTGAAAGGAGGAGAAGAGAAGTGACGAGAGAAAGACGGAGGAAACAAGATTATATTCGATAAGGGAAAGTGCCTGTAAATGCCGACACCCAGACCAGGCAGTACACCGGCATGACGGGCAGCGCCATTATTCTTCCTCTTCCCACCAGCACCATCGTGTTTGTCTTGAGACGGTTCGCTTGCGTCTTTTTTGACTGGCCAATGAAAGGGAAAGATTGTTTCCCGGGTAAAAAGCTTAATTGTGCTCACGAGAAAAAAAAGTCCAACTTTAGCGGGGCTAGGCAGCAATCTAAATTTGCTCAATCATATCGCGGTGATATACGCTGAACCGCGTCGAAACAATGCTATTTCCACTCTGCCATTCAATGGAAAGGCGCAATGCAGAATAAGCAACCCTTAGAGGGAGGGAGTTCCTGACCCAGAAATGCCCTCCTCTCCAGTAGATACTAGTCTAGATAGATAACCCATCGTGCCCACAAAGCCCTTGCTCGAGTCCTAATTGGTTGATTTTTCACGCTCCCGTCGGTGGCAGTGCGTGTCCTGTGTTAGTATAGTAGTTTGTTAGTTATATAAGAGTAGAATGTGGTTGATATGTTCGAAAATTTGCTTACTATGGCTATACCAGACCGATCGAGGAAGCTTTCCTCAGCCATTTCTCTAGAGAGGTATAACACGTCGCATCGCTATGAATTCCTTTATAAGTTCTTAAAAAAACTGCCCACACCCCAACCCCAAAACCTTTCTGGTTTCTCTCTCATGTATGGTCCTGTAAGCCCTGCCAGTACGGGATTACACAAAAGCATCTCAAGAATTGTCTTCGCATTCATCAATCATCCCACCCAACAGCAATGACTACTGAGCCCCCACGACAGATTGCCTATGTCTAAGTAGCCTTGGCGGCACCTGACTTGAGAGCCCAGTATCTACTCTGATTCTGGTAGTCCGGCGATTCCGAACCTTCCTTTATACACCGGTTATTGTTGCATTTTGACCCGCTACAGAGGAGGAACCCACCATAGAGCGATAGGAAAGGCACTCCCATTCACGTCTGTCGGTACGGTTCTGTTTCCAGCCTTACGCCCGTGGTCAAGCAAGAACAGGATGCAGATATGCTGGAATTAACAGGAAATAGCATGTGAAAGCGCCCGTCCGTATGACCATAGCAAGGCCCTATAAGCCCTAAAAAGCAATATTTCCCTACCGGGGTCAAAAATTGCCTGTTAGATATAGTCTCGTGCCTCTATAATTGCCGCACAACAATTTGAAGAGAGGGCCATATAAGACCACTACGGACCAGATTAAGGTTTCGAGAACTAAATGTCTTGATAGGTTTCTATTAACAGATATTCATCTTGGTAAACTACCTTAGTGGACCAAAAAAAAAAAAAAAAAAAAAAAAAAAAAAAAAAAAAAAAAAAAAAAAAAAAAAAAAAAAAAAAAAAAAAAAAACGACTACGACCTAGGCCCCCGCTTTATGAACTGCATTTCATCGATCATATTTAGTCTGCCTTGCAAAGTCCATCTTTTGTTCATTTCCGAGCAGCCATCAAGCGGCTCACCATCAACATAATCCATCGCAATATACCTCATCATATCAAAATATTGACATATTGTCCGTGACTTGGAGAGACCAATGGACACAAGGAGCTTGAAAGTGCTATTCAACGAAGCATCTTCGCTTCACAAGGTACCATAATGCCATTGTCGGCCGCCTTTTACGACGTTATCCATGAAATGATCGCACTAGCGTTATTTGACTGGATCGACATTAACGAGGGGTTCCGTGGCAGCAAGGGCCGAGTGCCTCATCATCCAGAAGAAAATACCTTGCTTGAGACTTTACCGTGACCTATCCTAGGAAATTTCTGGCCCGCCCAAACAGCTTATATTTTTTTCGATGTGTTCTTATTGATGGTCATCAATTCATCTATATGCCCTTCCCTGGCTGCTTTCTAGCTCTCTACGAGTCCTCGGCTGTCCTCTTCACTCTCTTGAGCCAAGTTCCCAGAAGAAAACTGCCATCGTTCAAGTCCCTACCGTTTTCGAAAATTCTAGTAACTCAAACCAAAGTCATCCACGGGCTCGCTCCCGTCAGTATAGTTGATACGATATGGATCGGGCCGGTAATAGTTTGTTTCATAGCTGGCAACTCTCTGTCTATGGTTTTACGTCTCAAGGTGATAAGTAACCCCTTTTCTGGCGCGTCTTAGAGAGCTGGTTACTGGCCCCAGAGCTTGCATTAATAGCAATAGAGGCAGGCCGATGTTGCGGCTTGGTTTGCCAAGCCAAGGATATTGTGAAGCATAGAAGGGTCAGATAAGGTGCCGTAGAATACATACAGGCTGAGTGCGTGCACTATATACATCCTAATTAGGTGATGGTCTTTGGGGGTAGAAGAAATAGCCTGGAGGAGCAGGCCGCCACCTCATAATGAACGAGGAGACTTTCAATTTTGGATCTTCCAGAGCTGTGAGTATTCGTATATTATCGCACCTATCTGTATTTCACACACTACCAAATCATAAGATCATAAATATGTTCAAGGAAAAAACTGGCACATACGACCACAGGGTGTGGAAAATAGGGCTTCCCGTCCGCTCAGCCGTACTCAAGCCACACGCCGGGAGGTTAGTAGTTGGGTGGGTGACCACCAGCGAATCCCTTCTGTTGTATGTATAGATTTTTGGACTTTTTACATCTTTCTCTACTTATTAAAGCGTATCTAAATACTATTATAATGCCATATATGCGTTTCGTGCTGATGTAGTAATTGTTTCTGTCCCGGGGACGGAAATGTGGAGGATTGAAATAAATGGGTGGAGGATGAGAAATCAGAAAATAGCTGAAAAAGCTCTCATGAAGTTGTCAGTAAAGTGTCAGGAAAGCGCCAGGAAAATGGCAGGAAAATGGCAGGAAAAGTGTAGTGGAAATGCAGTGGAAATGCAGTGGAAATGTAGTGGAAATGCAGTGGAAATGTAGTGGAAATGTAGTGGAAATGTAGTGGAAATGTAGTGGAAATGTAGTGGAAATGCAGTGGAAATGAAGTGGAAATGTAGTGGAAATGTAGTGGAAATGTAGTGGAAATGTAGTGGAAATGTAGTGGAAATGTAGTGGAAATGTAGTGGAAATGTAGTGAAAGTGTTAGTAAGCTAAGTCCAGGTTGCCATATTGTAAATTAAACGATTACGACCAGCAAAATGTTCGCTGATTATAGCATACTTCTGGATAGTATCGCCATAGGCTGCACAATCGTAGTGTATTACTATGAATTGGACGAGTCTTAATCCCGTAGCTCCCAAAGCAGGTCATTCCCTATCTGCTAGCGTGTAGGAGAACTACAAATAATTGCTTATTAAGATGCTATGGGACAGCCAACTGTGATAGATTGGATGGTCATGAATGAGCTCCTGGTGCTAGACAACTGGCGGTGTGTGAAACCCGTCTCACTGACTAGAGCCTTGTCATTTTGAGTGGCTGTTGAACTTGAGGGAAACAAAACCCTGCGTTCAGAGTTCAACAAAAAGGATACTTTGTATTGAATTTTGTGGTAATAAAAGTACAACAAGGGTATGTGATGAGTAAAATTAACAATATGTATAATAGGAGCGAGTAAGTAAGCTGGAGTGAGCAGGAGTGAGCAGAAGTGAGCAGAAGTGAGCAGGAGTGAGCAGGAGTGAGCAGGAGTGAGCAGGAGTGAGCTGGTGTGAGCTGGAGTGAGCTGGTGTGAGCTGGAGTGAGCTGGTGTGAGCTGGTGTGAGCTGGTGTGAGCTGGTGTGAGCTGGTGTGAGCTGGTGTGAGCTGGTGTGAGTAGAAGCGAGTGGGTGCGAGTAGGTGTAACAGGGAAATTAAGGGAATTAGAAAAAGCGGGGAAGTTAAGAAAAATAAGAGGAAATAGGGAAATTGGGGAAATAGTGAAAATGGCAAAAAATGTCACATGATTTCTACGCACCTTCCTGTTCTGCATGGTTTTACCACCTGCATAGTATAGCTGGCTTCTAGTAGAGGACCTCCTCCGTTCTTACACCAAACTAATAATCATACAAGAACACTTCGTGTAGAGCACTGCCACAAAGTAGGCGAAACAGACGAAATAAATAATATGGTCAAAATAGACCAAATGGGCGTAATAGAGAAAGGAGAAATATCTAAGGTATATTTATGCTTAGATGCATGCAATGAGCGAGATAAATAGCAGCAACAACGGCGGTCAGTAGTAGAAGTGAGTGATCTACACATGCCTCCGAGCAGAGCTATGATCAGTAAGTACCGCATGTGCGAGCTCAGGACAGGTCTTCACCACGGGTTAGAATCGTGATGAACAAGTATACACTTAAGTATGAATGAGTAAAATATCAATGATCAATGATGTTCATGTTTTCAGTCCAATTTTCAGCTTATCATGTATTACATAGGACAACCCTTATCCCACTGACCTTCTACAACAACCCTATCTTCTCGCTAGCCCTTTCTTTCATATATCAAAGGATCCATTACAAAAACACGAAAATACTAATATACAATTGCGCTGTTGACCTAGAGTGGCGTCTTCCCGAGAACATACGACAACTCTCTCGCCCAAGGAGTAACCATACATTGCTTCCGAACACATATTAGATCTGGCCAAATTGGCGGCAAACATAGAAGCCCCAATAAGATCAGTTCAGACAGTGGCGGCACTGATAACAGATCACGGCTGTAGATGTATAACTAATACACTCGGATATTAATATGATATATGCCTAGATTGTATCGGTCGGGCTCACTCACGCCTCATGTATATCTACTCTTCCGGATTCCAAATGATGATGGCAGGGTAGTCACTCCGATGTCCGCGGCCAGGTCCTCACATCATGTCAACCTCCTCCAGAGTCACTTAACAGTTTAGGAGGGCATATATACCTCTGTGAATTCGATAAAGAAGATTAATCCGTGGATGTCTTCTTCTCATTGTATCGGCAACGATGATGATAATCAAAAGCATGATTGCAAAGCTGCCAGGTTCTTCGCCTGATAGCAAAGACCGGTTTGACGAGGTGCGTACGGAGAGAGTGAGAGGAATGCGAAATAATAGAGAACTACTAATTGAATGATGAATGATCTTGATGGTAGAATGGGGCAGTCAATGCTGGACAATGGTCCTTTATATAACTTTCAGAGTGGCTATGAGGAAGAAATTTCTAGTCAGATGAATAGATTCATAGCCCCGACTACAGCTAAGTCTTTCCATTATGCGTATGTCGGGTCCCATATCTGGACTGGAGGAATTGATAGGCATACGGTAAGCGAACGGTTTGTAAAGGATAAGATTGTGACCACAACCCTACCGCTCTCGAATTTCTTTCCCCTGGTACTTCTCGGGATGACTCGCTAGCGTCTGTGCGGACGTCTCGCACCCGACACAATGAGCTCTCAGGATGAGCTAGTTCAGGTACAGAGTATACCGCCAGACCGGAGACGGGGATCGGTTGGTATCGTCTCCACTCTACGTCGTGCCCAAAGCGCAGTCGAGATTGGCAGGGTGATACCGCGCGGCACTGAGAAAAATCGAGTTGTAGGAGGCGCTATTAACATTGTGCTCCAGCTATACCGTGCCGTAAAGCCTTCAAGAATTTCATCAACATGGCGGCGGGTCTTGATCACTTTCCACTAATGCGATTTGATCGCTCCAGTTTCCATTCTTCCAACCGGTGATGGGATTAATCTTGGAGTTACGTATAACTCATATCTACGTAAGTATCTACATCAAGATCAAAAAGCTTTAAATGTTATTTTTTCTTACAAAGGCCATCTTTTGGATTGGCAAAATCATCTATATGAAAGGCTTCGTCCACGATCACTTCAGAATGTTAGGCGGATTTACTATATCGTAAGGCAATTTCACCACGGCTCCTCCCGAAACGGGAATGTCCGCCCGTCTTCGGCTGTTTGAAATCCAGGAGTGCGCAAAATGGTAGCAAGTAACACCTGTGGTATACTGAAAAGATAGGGAGCTACAGTCCTGTGGAGACGTCGGGAAGCTTCGGCACTATCTAGCCATCACCGCAAGGCTGGCGGCTGGGAAAGTTTCCTAGGAAACGTCGCTATGGGAAACGCTCCGCCTCATTGATGAATCACGCTAACCTATGAGTCAACTTCATGGATTAACATCGTACATTACATATCAGCACAACCTGAGAAAGATAGGAGACGGAAGGCGTCATTGAACGATTCAGTCTGCCTACACCAGTTACGTACAATTACCTTTGTGGCTGCTCTAGACTTATGCATAAAGAGATAAGAGGAAAGCTAATTACTGCACATGGAATTTTTTCTGCAGCAGGCTTTAATGAGGAAGTGGAGAGAGCGGACCTCTGCCGGGTCTTTCGAAAGTACGACGTTACTGCAGATTGCATCAAGATGTGGATTTCGCCCTCGCGCGGCAGCACTCCGGATTCTCCATGAACCAGATGTGCAATGGAATTTCAGAGAAATTGTCAGGGTGCTGCTCAGCATTGTCTGAGCATAGCGTCGGAACTATGACCTACTTCCTTACATGATTTTCATTTGCAACAATGTCATTGTTTACTTCTTCTTCTTCTTCTTCTTTATAAGAAATAACAATGTGTCGAAAGATCCTTGAGAAAACCACTATTTGACCACTCACCGATCGAAAAAATAAAAGGAAAAAAATGAAAAAGTAAAGATATTGAATAAATGATAATTGAATAAATGGAAGAAAATAAAACAGCCTGATAGATCAACAAAAGTACATCGGGCATATTACGACTTTGAGCGGGGATGAATGAATGCAGATCACTTGAGCACCAGAAAAAGGGTTTGCGCAAACCCGGAGCTGTGAGCTGGGGTCGAATTTAGCTTGTGCGGAATGGAATGGTTCATCAACCAGCTGTGGCACGGGATTGTTCCTGAGCAATGGAGATTGCTTGATTGATCTTGCCTCCGGCTTTGCCAAGAATCCAAATTAAGTCGGTCCCATAATTTCTTATTTCGCAGATCAACGTGTCGAATATGTGTTCGTCCATAGAATGTCCCTACCTACTTACCAGTAGTGAGGGCTCCAGCCCCTTAACATCATTGGCTCTATTCACAGCCAACCAGCAGAAAACCCGAGCCCTGATTATGATTGGCCTTGGCCTTGGCCTTGCTTGCAGTAGACGAAAGGTTAATTTATTGCCCGACTGAATCTTTCTGCTAACCGCACCGGGGTCAACGGGGTCATCGACTGCCGCAGCACACTCTATGCGCTTTTCCTCATCGACAAGGTCGGTCGGAAAGGTTCGCTAATGTCCGGTGCCAAGGGGACCTGGACCTTGCCGGTGATCATGGATGCGATCATTAGAGTCTACGGGTCGGATCTGTTTCATTATTAATCTGCCAGCTGGGCGGAAATTGCATTTATTAAAGTCTACAATATTAACTTTCTGTACTCTTTTGGTTTATTTCTTTATTTCAATTATAGTTAGATCATGCTAATGATCATAGAGCTCTTATTGGATGATCCTGCCATCAGAGATTTCAATCTATCCATACGCTTTTCGTAAATGTCCCCTCCCTAGTAGGGAACATAACTCGTAGGTCATGTCATTTCTCGGTTTTATCGGCTCTTACACAGCTCAATTGATTCCCACTCTCCCTAAACATATTTCCCTAAGTCTTCTTCAATCCCCCCGAATCTCCCTAAATCCAAATAGAATCCGAATTCGAGTCTTCCCCAATCTAGCTAAACCCTCCGAATAGTCCCTCTGATATCCACCCCGGCTGTTCTATGAGAGATTTTACATTGGCAGAATGGAATTTCCTATTTGGGAGTATATCCAAGTTCTGTGCTACTTCCCTCATCTGGCTAGAGTCCCACCCTTTGCTTGGATTTCACTTGAGATCCCTTCGGAACATGGTCTGGAACTGTCCGAACCAGTCAGCTAATCATCCATTTTCGTTACGTTTCTAATCGCCCTCCCTATGATCGCTGCCGCCACCATTACTATCGCCTTTTCTCATCGCCTTTTCCTGGACCACCCCCGGGCCACCCCAGCCCCCCTGACTATCTCGGACGGTCTTGGATCACCATTTCCCCGTTCTATTTTCAAGTTTTTGTTCTTATTTTACTCCTCTTTTCTCTCCATACGGAACAGTTTCCGCTGATCGAAAGTAGATAATAGTTTCACGCCATGAATGTATCTAGTCATTGTCTAGTCATTGATTCTATCGCCAATTCAGACCAAACACAAATTCTAGCTTCTTTTAGTTAGCTTGCTAAATTTCTTCTGGTCATATGATAGTTGTTCTCTACGTATCAGTTGTGTTAATGGCTGCCTATGCGTATCTACTTTGCCTGGTCATGCCCGTTGGGGGCTGGGCCGCTAGACGCGACACACGCGTGATGAGCTGGACCCCCCTCGGACCCGGAGTTAGGGCCGCGCGAGGGAGCGAAATCCTTGTACCTGACCGGCGTAGAATTTTCTCTGCTGCTCCATACAATCAAACTCTATCCTACAGTCTCCACAACTTAGACAGTCCATCCACGCACACCTCACCTCCCATACAGCAAATCCCCCCGTTCCGCAATCGTCCTCTGACACTTGGCCAAAATCGCAGCCTGACGGCTGACCTCCGCCAAACTGCCCACGACTTTCTGATTCCCATCAACGAACCCATAAAGCGCATACGGAATGCCCACATCCCGACAGAACTCCAGCACGAGCTTCTGTGTCCTCCGCAGATTATGCCTCGGGACACGAGGGAACAGATGATGAATCGCCTGGAACTGCAGCCCACCGTGGATGAAATCCAACCACTCGGGACAATCAATGTCCATGGTTGTGCGGAGCATGCGCTGGGCGAAGGATTCACTGGGTCCGAGGTCCATCGTTGACATGGCGAAGTGGGAGAGAGTGAATTGCACGTGTAGCGGCATGGTGACCATATGGCTTATCATGACGAAGAGGAAGCGATCCCAGGCTGTCGGAATACTGCGGTATACGAGGCCGTAGCCGAACCAGAGCCAGAAGATGAGGTTGCCGACAATTTCGAAGTGGCGGTGCCACCAGGCTGGGCCTTTGCGGGGGCCTTGGCCCTGGATGAGGAAGATCCAGGATTGGACATAGAGGTTGAAGCGGCCGAACATGAGGACGGGGTAGTAGAGGTAGGCCTGGTAGGCGACGAGACGGCTGGCTGCGCGTGTGTAGGGCATGAGGCGCTCGTGGTAGCTGGAGAAGAGGTTTCCGAGGAAGCGGTGGTTGACGGCGAAGAAGGGGAGGTGTTGGTTGTCTGGGTCGTGTTCGGGGGCGTTCGTTACGATGTGGTGGACGTTGTGGGTGCGTTTCCACCAGCCCAAGGAGAGGCCGCCGATGGGGGCGGCGATTATCATGCCGATGAGGCTGTCGATGGTGAAGTTGTGGGTGATGGCTATGTGGGCAGCGTCGTGGGCGGAGAATACAAGTTGAGACCAGAAGAAGCCAAGGAATATGGCGCTGGTGCAGTACCAGCCATGGTGGAGGAAGAAAAGCATGGTGCTGAAGATTAGTGAGCAGCGTGCGAATTCTTTGGCGTAGGCTATGTAGTTGCAATTGTAGAGGCCCTCGGCTTGGATTTGGTCGTGGAGACGTTGGTACTTCTTTATGATGTCGCCTTGGGTTGCTTCGTCAAGGGATGGGTAGCGGGTTAGGGTGAGGCTGATTTCTTCCTTGGTTTGACTGTCTAGAAAGGTCATTGCTTCTTTGGTGTTGAGCTCGGTTGCTGCTTGGTGCACTGGATTGAGGCGGCCGTCTTCATTGTTGTTCGGTGAGTTCTCGTCCGTAACAGATGAACTGTGTGCATTTTGCTTGGTGTTGGGAGGTGCCTCCTTGTCCGGATACGGTCTGAACTGTCCACCCTGGATGGGAGGCACAAAGTTCCGCCATCGCCCCTCAACCCGGCCGATCTGGTACCGATCGGCCATTTTGATAGTCTCCTCTGAGTGGAATCTGCCCCACAAGTTAGTTTGAGCTACCTTTCCAAGTCACTGAACATGTGCATACACGGTGAATTCATCTGTTGCGTCCTTGCCGACCATGTGTTGGATAGTTTTGTGACCTCCCGGATGGTATGGGATCCATGAATCGACACGTAGCACTTTCTGATCGACAATCACAATGGATTGTCCTGCAGCAATCAGGCCCTCGATTTCTCGAGATGAGAGGATCTGGTCTTTTCGGGACTGGGCCATTTTGCTGGATTCTGGTTGAAATGCAAGTATGTGCCACCGGTAAGCAGGGAACATCCTCCCAGTGGTAGGCAGAAACATTGGCGAATGGGGGAAATAAGTAAACCGGGTGGGTTTATGGGACTGTGCGGCTCGGGATTCGGGAGGCAGACGACGCGTGGTGGATCAGGATCCCGCAATTGTCAGATTTTAGTCCCGGAGGGTCAGACGATTTGCGGCTTTCCTAGGATTGCTACTGGTTTTTGATCTCTAATTTAGGTGGGTTTCTCTGATTTCTCATGGGCTATCCTGTATCTAGTATGCTAAGATGGTTTAGCTTACTCGTAAATTCGCTGATTTGGGAGATTACTTGTGTTACTTAGGGTATCTCTAGCCATTCGCTATATCCGTTATGCCGAACTCCCTTGGAGTTAGGATTTGCTTTTGATGTCGCAAGACACTATACAGGCTTGCATACTTATACAGAGAGTTGCCGATATTCAAAGCAGCTGAGAATATGTTAAACTGTATACAATTTATATTAGCCTCCGGAAAGAGTCACATTCCTTCTAGGCTAAGGAAGCAAAGCTTTTCTACCACTCTCACAGCTACCCACAATGCGGGGATTTTATGGTATCAGCGATGGTGATATTTGCCTGCTACAGAGGGTGGCAAATCAAAGGGTGGAATAGATTGCCGATCAATTCATTTGAGTCACTATCAAACCCTAGTAAACTTGAGCTACGAAGGATTTTACAAAATTCTTTGGTGCCACAGAAATTACCGAATAGAGGATAGTGGAATACCGCCATCCTTGCCGATCTCTACTACAGCCACATTGGCCTGGCCCTCTTTCACTTGACGAACATTCCTAGTAAATTATTCAAACTAACCTGACATTCAATGTTCGGAAGTCCCAATCAAATTCGTGATCACATCACCACTGTCTCAAAACAGAATCAAATGGCACAATGCAACAACAATCAAGCTAAGATCGACCAAACTGTCAAAGTCTGTGTCTGACAATCTCACCAGTTACAGCCACCTCACACTCAATCAAGCTCTCCGACCACCGTTCCGCCGTCCAGATGTTCAAAATGCAATATCCCGCCTTCCCCAATAGCCGCCGCCACTGAGATTCCGTTCGCTCCATCCCCGCAAAGGCCGCCATTAAGGTCATGTCGAGCGATGTCGTCTGCCAGTGTGCCCCCTGCTCAGCCACGACATACTCATTTATGAGGAGCCGGCTAATTCCGGGGATCATGGCAGGTTTGAGCTGGTCGAGGATTCGATGGCAAGGCTCGTCCGGCCAATCGTGAAGGATGGAGTGGAGGAAGTACGCACGAGCACCTGTTTCACTTAGTTTTGCAATTAAAGGAACAAGGCATTGGCAGAAGTAGAAAGAGGAATGGAGATACCTTTGACTGGCTGCTCCGTGAAAAAGTCATGTGCCATGCACTCGATCGAGGGATGCAAGCCGGTAGCCTCAGCCAGAACCGCAGGCTGGTCCTGCAGAATTAACCTTCCTGGAAGGTTTGGCCACTTGGTGCAGAGTTCATTCAGATCATGACCTTTCCCACCACCCACATCAACTAGCAACACGTCATTATTGCCTGTCGGAAACTGGTGCAGTAGTCGATCAACCGGGTAGAAACCCGGATCCATCCAGCTAGCGTGGCCTTGATGGTAGACCGACATAAGATTGTTGAACTGCGTGTTGAGGGCGGGATTGTGGGCGAGATGTTCGAAAAATGCATCTGTAGTGTTAAAGGCCATTTGAAGGGGACAATGGCGACCGTCGGTGGGATTCTGATAGTGGTTTTGGCGAAGGAACTTGGGAATCGTAAGATTTGGAGGGTACATGGATCCAATACTGTTGTTTTCATCAGCTACAGTACAGATTGGAAGGACCGTAAAATAACTGACGCTGCTGGGAAGGAGTCGGAGTACTTGGTATGGGCGAGCGTGAAAGAAAAGCCATTGGTAGTATACTCGCCGGTTTTCGTCTCAATAACGACATTGATGGCTCCCAGGTGTCTCATAATGCGCTCTGTAATAATGTTACCTCTAATTGAAGTGTCTAAAACGCTGGTCACGTACGAATCAGGACGAGGTCGGCCCCGGTGGCGCTTGCCAGTTCCTGGACGGACTTGGGCTGGCCAGCTTCAGCCAGCAGGCGAAAGATGCCCAGGTCAATGGCTGTCTCGATGGCAGCCCATCCGGTAGACTGTGAAGATGTTCAAATAATTTGCTTAGATGAACAGAGGAACTTAAAGCTTACACTTCGTAGGAAGTACCGCCATATCGTCTCTCGTGGAGTTTCGACCGCAGCTAGCAACGATTCCGCAGCATCCACCAGTTTCAGCCGAGCACCGGATTGCCTCAAAGTAAATGCTAGGCCAAAGCTGTTGATCTGCGAGATCAGGTTGGGAACTTGGTCCGGGGTATTAGGAGCGACTGCGATGCGGTCGACCTCGGCCATCCTCTTGTCGTCTTCGTGCAAGCTCATATCTGTATTATAGTAGTCGAATGTAGAAGGCTAAGGGAGGTGAAGGAATAATAAGAGTGTGAGTTAGTATACAACTAAATAGGAATATGAAGATGTACTTCAAAACATATACGAGGCGATGGCCTGCAGTGTAACAGAACAGAGTTATAGACCCCGCTCCTCTACAGCGTCAGATGCTCCGCTGACATGACGTGTTGAATAAGTCAGATAAATTATGATAATCATAATCAACCTGGTAAAAGTGATAGACAACAGCGGATGGCTAAATAGTTTTTCTGCAGAAGAAAGGTCAACATAAGAGTCATTATAGGCATCACTGCACAATAGATCTTCTTGTCATTGCTCCCACTATAGAATTTAGTATTCCCTTCGCTTTATACCTGATGAACACAAGATATGCGGACATGCATATTCCCTGCGGAAACCTTTGCATACTAATTTCTGAATGTGCAGATGACACTTTCAGGAACATGTTAGACAACCAACCCTTTACTAAATACTGTGTAACATACCCCTGTTTACATAGAATTGACAATGATGGGTCTTCATGTCTCCTATTTGTTATCCGAGATTTCCCACTTATCTTTTGCTCATGATACCAATCTGTTGCCAGTTCTGTGGGCGCGAATACTACTCATACAACTGTAGGCATTCCCCCTGGCTTAACCGTATACCTGATTAGTATATATTCAACTGCCTCAGTAGAATTGTTGCCAATGATTATTATTTATGAACATCTTCAGAGAGTAATATATAACAAGTACTTCATAACAACTCTACAATGAGAACATACGACAAGGCTGGCTGAACGATGAGTCTCCTGTAGCTAAACTATATAAGAGAAATAAACTTTCTAAGTCAGGCTCTTGGCTGTTTCAAACTTTCCAGTAAGTAGAATAACTTCCCTATAAAGGTCCGATTTCCCGGTATCACAAGGTGTAATATTCTAGTAAGAGTCACAGGGAATGGCAGTTCTTAGAAAAACATCTAGAGCAAGGTAGTCATCAATGAGCTCTTCTCTGATTGTGAGTAAGGATACACTTATTATATAATTACCATTGCTTTTGAGAGAGTTCGCCATTATTCTCGATACGTTGGGATATTTGAAGTTCGCATTTATGACACCTATTCCTGATAAAGTATCGTGATTGGACTATCTACTGCAACATTACACTCGTCAAATCCTGAAGTAGCTGATTGATCTACGACTTTGGGAGAATAATGCATTCCTAGGGACATGTGCACTGCATTTGGTTGACTTGTCTGTGCCTAGTAATAATTCTACTACGAAATTTTTATTATTTGTTACCTTCTTGTCTATTAGTTTCCTTATATATCATATTTCACCTGGACCTTTGCCGCAAAGATAAAGGATCGGGAAGACGACAACACTGAAGGGGATCAGGGCAGAAAGGAAAGCTACCTACATTCCTTACATAAAAGGAACATATTAACAGTCGCAAAGTATCAGCTCTCTGGATGCACCTTACAAAAGTTCACGATCAAGATGCGAGTAGAGAGATCCCTCTCACAGACACTGGTGGCTGTACCTACTGCTGAACCAACCCCGTAATCCTCGCCTTGACACACAAATTCCCCTTCTCAGGATACGGGGTCCCAAAGTCACGCGCGAATTCAATAGTCTCTCTAGGTGTATCAGCCAGCTCCATATCAAACATGCGCATAAGTGTGGCAATAACAATGAAAAGCTCCGCATAAGCCAGCCTATACATGGCATTTAGCTACCAAACAACCGTCTTATCTCAGAAGGTATTGACTTACTGCATGCCAAGGCAAATCCGAGAACCCTTGGAAAAGTTCACCAGATACCGATCCAATCGCTCTCCCTTTTCAGCAGCTCGGATCCAGCGTTCGGGGTCAAAATCACGAGGGTTGGGAAAGATGAAGGGATCCATAAGAATGAAGACGTGGCTTGAACTGAAGAGACTCTGTTTGTGTGATAATTAGTGGTCTGGTACGGGTTGTTCTGGGGAAGATAGTACGTACACCAGGGGGAATAACATGTTCCTTGTAGACCAGTGCCTCTGTAGGGGCTACTCGAGGCATTCTGGACGATACGCCTGTTGAAAGACGCATGGACTCATTGATGACACCGGACTGTATTTAGCAAGGATTAGCGTCCAGTGTCGACCAAGGGACTCGGAAAAGGACATGATACTCACCAGATAGGGCAGCTTCTCCAGCTCCGTGCGACCCACCCGCGTATCCGGTGTAGGCATCACGGTCTTAAGTTCCTCTCTTAATTTGAGCCGAATATCATCCCTCGTAAGCAAGTGATAGGTCCCGACAGAAAGCGATCGCGCTGTGGTTTCCGTTCCCGCGATGGCTAGAGCAAGCCCCTCGTTCATAAGCCGTACAGGCGTCCGCATATGTGCTGGCATGTGAGGCCCGGCAATGGCATCCAGGATGGCGCCCCTGCTGTTACTGACCTTTTCATCTTGCTGCACGGAAGTCTGGTTCCTCTCTAGGGCGGCCACACTTCGTGCATACAAATCCTCTCGCTCCTTCACTAATGTCACTGCAGGCTCACTTACCAGGCGCAGTAACCCAAGCGGCATTACGCCCATGATGACCTTGATGAAGGGAAAGAAATTGAGAATATGAATCCCTCTGAAGAATGCGTTGGAGGCATCCCGTACGCTCTCATTAAATCCTTCTGCGTCAAGGTTGCCCGGGTTAAACCCAAAGGCATACTGGTAGATAACGTCTGCGGTTAGGCCTGCAAATCCGGCGTCCAAGTTGACTACGTTGTTGCTCTGGTATGCCTCTTTGTAGGTTTTAATAATCTTGTCCAAGCTATCGTGGATGAGGTACTCAATATTGGAGATGGCCTGCTTCGAGAAAAACTTATCCAGATGAGAGCGACGCTGACGATGCGTTTCAGGTGTGATGCTCGAGAAAACGGCGCCGTCCAGGTCAAACTGGGCTATTTGGACAGGGTCTTTCTCTCGACGGCGAGCACGGGAAGTGTAGATCTCTTCGTAGTAATCTGGGTCATTGATGTGGACTTCATCGGGGTTGATGCGAATGACGGGGCCTGAGTGAAGACATGATCATTAAAGAGAGGTTAATAGGGATAAAGTGGCAACACGTACCGTAGATCTTGTGCAGGCGCTCAATTTCCCAGACAAATTTTCCACCTTTGATAACATTGTAGTAGAACTCGTAACCGTAGGTGATGGCTGCTAACTTGGGGCCAGGGATTTTGTGAAGGGGATGGAAATACAACAGATAAACACTGCGGAAGACATAGTAGGCTAATAGGCCTATACCTAGCCATGCGTATACAAACATGGTGGTGGTTGAGGAGATGGAGGGGGTTTGATCGGGGTCGATTACAATGTCAGAATCTCACTCGGGACACGGGATTGAGACAAGCCTTAAGAGAAGGCTATAAAGAATGGGAGCCCCCCGACTCTTGGACAGCTGTTTGAATCAGTCTGCCGTCCCAGAGTGGACGTCATGAGTCGCTTATGCAGAGCATCTGCAACTTGATTGATAGCGCACGAACCATCTGTGCCGCCGTTGCGGGTCCAACTCCTCTTCCCCGCCCGTCTGGTGGATAGAAGACGCTTGAACAGCCAGCCACGATCAGAGGTATTATTGCTAAGTGGCACATCTGGAAGATTGTCACGTCGTTGGTCCACTTCCTATCTTGTTTAGGCAGCGGACTACAAAAGTACTATGCAGGGCCGGGCCGTCAGGCTTAACCCGTCCCAGGAAAGACTGAGATATTCCCCGAACCCAATGAACAGTTGGCAATTTCGAAGACAGTTATATGGCAAAGTAGCAAGTCCCGAAATTGGACTCCTGTGGGGTCGTGCACACCAAGACAAGATGTCCGCTTATCTGCCTTCCAAGTCGTTCGGTTCAGTTCCCTTCGGCCGTGGCTCGTCCATCTCCAGCTCCCGTCCGCCCAATGTTGCGCTTGTGTGCTGCTTATGAACGCATACTGCCGTTCAAACGTCCTGTATTGCAATGGCAAAGGTAACAATGTAGCTTCCTGCAGATAAATAGCTGTCAAAGGCATGGCACCGGTCGGCATCCTCTAGGTCAGCTTGTACCCGTCCACTGATTGAGAAGCCAGCTGCTACTACCCTGGTGGAGCCCATTGAACACCAGTAATATCTCCGGAATAAATCCGAAACTGCATCGGAAAGAAGGAAGGTTGAAGCATGGGAGAGACAGGGAAATCAAAAAGGCTAGTGACCACGTTGAATATGAGCCAACGTGCATTACAATACACCATTAGATGTGTTCCAGTTTACGGCATCATGTCTCTATAAACTGCACCAGGGTAAACCAAACGACCTAGAAGATAGGATCAATTTAGATACAAATGTCACTTAGTCCGTTCCTGGAATGAAACCAGGCCTTTCTACAAAAATTTGTTATCAGTCATTCTTGGACTGCTCGGCTGCTCTTGATAGTGTAGCTTTCTGTCAGAGGTAATACAGCGCAAGTCTATTAACTGCAGCCGACATTAAAACGGTCTTGTTGAATATGGGAATGTTAATATAAGCTTCAATATTTGAAATTCCTGCACATTCAGGACGAGATACCACATGTTCATCAGAGATCTGAGAAGAGAGAGGAATAATAACGGCTGGAATGCGACTCCTCCACTATGTTGACGGATCCCGCTGATAATGTTATGCATTAATTAAATTCTAGGCGCTGTGACACTAAGAGGGGAGAGAAAAGATAAAGACAAATAATCCATAAAGTTCTTGCCCCGCATATAGATTCTATACCGTTGGCATTCTTCAGAATGGACTGTAGGAACCCGTCAAATTGAGGAATGCAAGGAATGCTAGGATCTCACAATTACAGAGTCTGTGAAATAGCAACCAGTTTAACAGTCATGATTTAGCTTGGTAGCCTTGCCTGGCAGTTATCGGGCATGTCATGAATCTGCGCTTCGAGCAGGCCCACGCGTGGGTATATCACTGCAGGATTCACTGATGCACTTATTCATCTACAATGACGGCATTCTGCTTCATCTTCAGTGTCATAACAAACGAACTCCTGAATATGATAAGTATCCCCGCTTGACATAATTTACATCAAGCTTTATTATAATGAGACGGTGTAGCCTTCTGATGATTGACCTGCGCTATTCTTTTCGAGTTGCTCTTCCCTCAACTCGTCCAGTTTTCCGTTGGTATCAACAGCCGCCTCGACGGTTCAATGTGGCCATCAGAACCGCTGAGACCTCTACCACCCACGACACTCACGTCTTTCAATATCAGCCTATCGAGGATGTTGAAAAGCTAGAGAGGTACAGAAGAGGAGGGTAACATCCAATGTTCGTCGGAGACGTGCTGAATAATCGCGACAAAGTGATAGACAAGCTGGGACATGGGGCGTTCTCTACAATCTGGCTTTCACGAGATGAGCGAAAGACAGCCTACGTGGCCGTCAAGGTTAGTACTGAAGATGCTTCCACTCACGATGCAAATATATTGCGTATGCTCAAAGATTGCTGCCTGGCTCATACCAACGATCGTCCTGTCGTCCCTTGATCCCCGTTATCCTGGACAGTTTCGAAATCGAGGGCCCAAATGGGCATCATCAATGCATTGTCACAGCACCCGCTAAGAGCAGTGTATCTGCAGCATTATTCTACTGCTACTCTCACATAGAAACGGCTCATGTTTCAGCTGCCAAACTTGCTCTGGCTGTTGCATATGTTCATGCTCAAGGCTATGTCCATGGAGGTAAGTGAGAAAATATCCATTCCAAATGATTTTTAGTATACGAGAGAGGAGCTATGCCATGAAAGGACTGCTAAAGATACACACCAGATATTCATCTCAGAAACATCCTGATACCCTTACCTACTAACAGTAACAAGCTTTCAATCGAGGATTTCTATGAACAGTTTGGTAAGCTTTAGATGGGACCAGTTGTGCGACTGGGCGGACAGCCTTTCCCTCCTGGCGTTCTTACTAGTGGGACGATGTCGACCTAATTAGGGAAATCGAGCAAACGACATCCCGCCGGATGAAGCCCAGCTCCTCAGCGACTTTGGTGAGAGCTTCTCCTCTTCCGACCATGAGCAGCGACGACGCGGGCAGAACTATCCCTCGCCGCTTCCAGTCGTACCGCCTGAAGCCTACTTTGAACCCGACAACCTCTTTCATTCCCCTCGGACATCCGGAGTCTTGCATGTGCCATGTATTCCATGTTTGGCTTGCAGTGGCTGTTCGATGCCACACTCGCCACTCGGCATGACATAGCCTCTCAACAAGTAGATGTCATCGGAGAGATCCCATCTGTATGGTGGAATACGTGGAAGAAGTGCCATAAGTACTTTGAAGACATCAAAAGGCCTTAGGTAAATCGTTTTGTGTTCCCATCTCTTGAGCAGAATTTTGAGGAGGATATACAGGCAACACAACAAAGAGCGAATATGTCTTCATTCGATAAGGAGGAGAAGATAGTCATTTTAAGCATGCTTCGCTCGATGCTAGCAATGAACCTGAGAAGTGGGCAACAGCGACAGATATACTGAGCTCTGACTGGATAGTGAACTGTGATTGCCGGCTGTGAAGAGGGCCTGTAATGACCGGCAAACTGGCTGATGCAAGGTCCTCTTCATATTCCTAGCATCGACACTATGACTATCTCTCCATTAGTCTGAATCTCCGCTATAGTCGTTTGACATTCAACAGTCCTGGGAGCATGCAGTGATATGATTTTCTCATGAGTTATTTTATTTCTGTAGCTTTTTCTTTTATCGGATTGCCTTCAGCGTAGTATCGAAATTAATCATGTGATGGCAAAGAAAGTATATGTGAAAAGTTAGACTTGTCAATCAAACCCCAAGACTAAGGGACAGACTAGACATTAACCTTGATTGTGAACGTTGAGAATGTAATTGGCAGCACCGCCTAGTAATCCAATCTAATTTGTCGCCCCTCAGCTTCCATGGACTGGCCACAGTGGAAAGCCACGAGAAGTTGGGACGGGCTGGCCGAGGGACTAAAACGGTCTAGAAGCCAACTCTGAAACAGCCGACAAAGTGACCTGTCATCTTTGCTCCGGTACCAGTGTTCAGATGCGTGTTACTGCAAACCGTTCTCCGATGTGAAAACTCCGATCTCTCGCAGACTAATTTGCACTGCCGGCTATTGATTCTCCGTCTTTGCTGTAATATGTAAGACTATGTCTGTACAAATGTTGGGGTGGTCCAAGTGATGTGGAGCCGAGGTGTATTCCGACTCTACATCTTATCATAGTCATACCACAAATGCAGCCGAATCTAACGCCTCAACTCCCACACACTAATCGCAATATTGACTAGTCCAGGGGCAGCCGTCTGACGGGCTGACAGGTGTGCATACATGGTTTCAGTGAGATTGATTGTAGCAGATTTCAGGGGCGAGAAGTGGCACTGAACGGCAAATCAGCCTTACATCCTTACAAGGTTCACTTTTCGATAAAAACTCGACAATGCCAGAAGGGGTATAGTAAGCGACCGCGTAATTAACTAATTGCACTAAGATCCAGCCACACCATCAGAACCACATCCCCGATATTTTGGTTAGTTTTGTGCCTGAATGAAATGTAAGGAATGGGTCAATTGGTAACCAGGGAAAAGAGTCAGCCAAGTTGAAAGGATGACAAGGAACTGGCTGGAACCCCCTGAATGGATTGACTGGTTCCAACGGTCGCGGGCCGTGGAAAGTGCGAGAGGAAGAGAGACAGAGACACAGAGAGAGACAGCCATGCCCTAGACTGGGCCCAAAGGAGGCAATAGGGCTTTGCCGGTATGGCTGTGTGACGCTCCGCGTAACGTGACCGCCACCCTGACTAGTAATCAGACACTGGAGTATCTACACACAACATACACACCCAATACTCAATTCAACTTCCCAATCCAAAACTAGTGCCATGGACTAAAATTCACACCAGTGGGGGCTGTCTTTACCCTTCAGAATTCAGATCGATCGCCTTCAGGGACGCTGATAGGGCTTAGAGGACCTATAGCGTTACCTATTATATCATGGCGACGAACATGGGCAGCGTTAGCAGTCGCCAGTCCGACAACAACTATGGGCCCGGGGAATGATCGGCGGATTCCAGCCAGGCCAGCCCCCAAAAACGAGGATGACTCCATTATTGCACGCCGGTGACTTCAGCCAGACTGAAACATGCTCGCGTGGGTTGCTCCCCTCGATTTTCCGTCTGCTTCTGACACTCGCGTCTTTGACATTCCTTCGCCTGGCTTGTCGTGGTCTCTCTCGCTTTCATCGGGCTTCGGCCTCCCCCCCCTTGACAGCGCTCTACGCATTTCATTTCCGATGCGTTTCCCTCTCGTTCCTTTTCTTTTTCTTTCTCTTTTCTCAACTATTCCCGATCCTCTGAAAAGAATATACGTCCGTTCACTGCTGCACTAATTCACCCACTAACGTCTCAAGTCCTGGTCCAGTCCATGCGGTTTTACTTTCGTTCGACCCACCCGCTCTCCACACGAACCGGTGGACTCCAACACTCATTCACCCAGTGATTGTCAGATCCTGCCTGGACTGTGCAAAGCGATCTTACGTCCCTGGGAGTTCAGCCGACCAATTGCGACATCGCTCGCTAATTGGAGCTGCAGGGCAGCTTCTGGCCTCTTTTTTAGACCGTCTCTTTCCCTAAACCATTCCCAATGCCATTTTCAAAATTCATGTCCGGCAGACCTGGTATCACGGAGAAGCGGCTGTCGGCTCATCGCTTCCAGCAGCTTCCCGACATGGCCCCGGATAATATGATGAATCCCAACGACGTCACTATCGACATCCCATTGAACCCGGTTCCCAGTCGGAATCAGACCGGCGCTCGCAAGACAAGTAGCAATGTGGGAGGCTCGCCGAATCCGTATCAACCACCCGGCGATGACAAAGGCATTGACGGTGAGAAGGAGGGGTTGGTCGCGCCAAATCCTGGCATGCGCCGACGCATCGACGAAAGCACTGGACGTTCACTAGAAGACCCCGAGGATGGCACCGTCACTCGCATGGGCCGCATCTACCAGGCCATCCTTAATTACTCTGTCCTCACCCGCTACTTCATCTATGTGGCCCCGCTCGCAATTCTACTCGCCATCCCGATCATCGTGGGAGCAACGGTCGCGCAGGACGCGACTATCGGGGGAGTTACTCTGCCTTGGTTCTGGTTCTGGATTGAGATCGTCTGGATCAGTCTGTGGTTGTGCAAACTTGCAGCCAAACTCTTGCCGTACATCTTCCAAACCCTCATCGGGTTTGTGAGTTCAGGAACTCGGAAATATGCTCTCATTCTACGCAAACTGGAAATGCCAATTGCAACCGTGCTGTGGTGCGTGGTGTGCTTGGTCACCTTTTTGCCTGTAAGTCTCGCTTGATCTTCCTGATACGTGCCCCCGACTAATTTCCATCTAGGTCATGACACAAAATCCCCATCAGAAAGCCAAGGGGGATACCTCTACCAAATCCTGGGAGAAGTCTATCAAGAACATCCTGTTTGCTCTCTTTGTCTGCAGCTTGATTTTCCTGGCCGAGAAAACCATGGTTCATCTCATCTCGATCAGCTACCACCGCAAGCAGTTCGATGCCCGCATCAAAGAATCGAAGCGCAATGTGTATCTAGTGGCTCTGTTGTTCGACGCCTCGCGCCACATGTTCCCCATGTACTGCAAAGAGTTCCAAGAGGAAGACGCTGCCATTTCCGACTCCATTCTTCGCTCCGCCGCCATCAAGACCCGCACTGGTAGCTCATCAGCGCCTTTGCGCCTTATCCGGGGCGTGGGTCAAAATGTCCACCAGTTCGGTAACAAGGTTACGGCGGCTTTCGGCGACGTGGCACATGAATTGACTGGCAAGCAAGTTTTCAACCCCACCTCCACTCGGTCCGTCGTCACCCAGGCTCTGGAACACAGACGGACGTCGGAGGCGCTAGCCCGAAGAATTTGGATGTCTTTCGTCATTGAAGGCCGTGATGCTCTGTACTTTGACGATATCTGTGAGGTCCTAGGAGCTGGCATGGAGGCGGAGGCCGAGGAATGTTTCCACATGCTGGATCGCGACGGCAACGGGGACATCAGCTTGGAGGAGATGATCTTGGCCATCGGGGAAGTCCGCCGCTTGAGAAAGTCCCTGAACAACAGTCTCCACGATGTTGACCAGGCAATCCACGTTCTGGACAACCTCTTGCTGACCGTGGCGGGTATCATCGCTATTCTGGTCTTTGTGTCTTTCGTAACCAGTGGCTTCGGTACCGTTATCGCGGCGGGTGCCACTTCCCTGCTTTCTCTGAGTTTCGTCTTCTCGACCACCGCACAGGAAGTGCTGGGTTCGTGTATCTTCCTCTTCGTCAAGCATCCCTTTGACGTGGGCGACCGTGTAGAAATCAGCGACAAGCCGTACTTTGTCGAGCGCATCTCCTTGCTCTTCACCGTGTTCCGGAACGTCAACGACCACCGCATCACGCAGGTTCCGAACGTCGTCCTCAACACTCTATGGATTGACAACTTCACCCGTGCCAATGCCATGCATGAGCGCCTCACCGTCCCCGTCAGCTTCGAGACCACCTTCTCCAACGTCCAGCTTCTCCAAGAGGAGATGGAGAGCTTCGTACGCGACAAGGACAACTGCCGCGACTTCCAACCAGAGGTCACCATTGATGTGGTGGGCCTGGGCGACATGGACAAGATGGAGCTGAGTGTCTTGATTTGCCACAAATCCAACTGGTCGAACGAAGCTGTCCGTGCTGCTCGTCGCTCGAAGTTCATGTGCGCATTGATTTCTGCTGTGCGCAAGGTCCCTATTCGCGCTCCAGGCGCCAGCGACGACGCCGATGATGACAAAACCGAGAAGGATGACAACAAGTCGGATGCCGGACACGACCAAACCCTACCCGTCCGCCAGGTCTCCATCGCCAGCGAAGGCATGCGACGGGCTAACACTACGGCTGGCGTCTCTTACACCGAATCCCGCTCGACTGGCTTCGACCTCGGCAACTCTCCGCAGTCACTGCAGCGTCGTGGCATGGGCGCCTCCAGCTCCTACAGTGAAGGTCTCACCGCAGAGCACGCAGCCCGGTCGCAGGACGGCTCCCGCGACGGTCATGAAGTCGACCACTACCAGACACCCGTGGGATCTCCCGGTCAGGAGCGCCAACTCAACGTGACCTACGGACTCATGACTCGCGAACCGTCAACGGGTCGTCGCAAGGAGGGCCGTAGCTCGTACGTCGAGCCTGAACCCGAGCCCCAGCCCGTGGTTGCCCCTCGAGGCGATGTCCCGGTACTCTCGGAGCCAGTTCCTCCCCGTCATCGCCAGGAGGCGCAGCCCACGCTGCCCCAGGTCGCAGTACCCCAGCCTCTCGCGGGGGCCGCAGTGTCCCAGCCGCCTCAGCAGCCGCCCGAGTATTACAACTACCCGGGGCAGTACTACGACCCATCGGAGGACCCATACGACCCGAACCAGCCGTTCGAGCTTCCGTCGATGCACGAGCAGACGCCAGACGGACGCGAGCACCCCTCGACGCACCTGACAGAAACCGAGCCAGGACGGTATGTGCCACGACGGCCGTACGAGGGAGCGGGTAACCAGTAGCCATGAGTGATGATGATTTCTTCTTTCTCCTTTTTGCCAAAAACCCGGGACTTAAGACTGTTGCATATGATGTATTATTATTATTTTATGAGTGGACTGATCTATTAGCATGTAATTCGCAATGATATCGTACATTTGATCCCATATTATACAGCATTTAGCATCCCATGATCATGATGATATAAGTAGTTCACCGAGATAAGGCATGGGAAAAGACTACTAAAACTTCGTCTCCTTCCACGGATACCCAACCGTATCATCCTTCCTCACCCAAATCTTCGTCTTCCGTTTATTCACCACATGCTCCACAAACGCCTCCCGCGTATACTGCGCCTTGAACTTCCGAATCCACCTGGGATCCCACAATTCGCTCGCAATCCCCAGATCCTTACAACACCGCACCAATGCATTCGACCGACATCCCTCCGTAGCAGTCGGGATTCCATCGGGAGAGAAGTAATCCTGTTCGCCGCGCGCAACTGAAACCAACCTAGACGCAACACACAAGTAGTCAGCTTAATTCATCCACACATCACACCCTAACACACCCCTAAGGAAGAGGGTATACTAACCGCCCATTACAAACAAGCGCATACTCCCGCGTCACCATCTTGGGCGTAACAATGCTCTCACTCCTAGGCACCAGACCCCATCCACCGGGTCCGAACGCCTTATTCAGTATCCGTCGGTACTTGATCTCGGGGAGGTAGAGGATTCCGTCGGGCTTGATTTCGACTTCTTCCGGGTCGGTCGGGGCGAGGAGGATGTCGGCGCATTCTTTGGGGAAGGGCGTCGCGCTGAGCCCGTGGAAGGAGCGCGTCCAGTCGATGCGGTCTTCTGTTGGGTTTGCGGGGGAGGGTGGGGTGTCGAGGAGGTCTTTGAGGATGGGTGTGGTTTTGGGGGTGGAGGTTGAGGAGGATGAAGAGGAGGTAGTGGTGGGCTTGGGTGGTGTTGATGTTGATGTTGTGGAGGTAGAGGTGGCGGGTTTGGTGTTGTTGGTAGTGGTGGATTGGTAGCGGCTTGTGGTGGTGAGGGAGTGGCGAAGAGTTTTGCTGAGCTGGGGTCCGCGCAGGGAGCGCGTTAAAAGTGGGAGGGACATTGTAGAGGACTGTGGTGTGGTGTTTGTGGTTGGGGAGTGGTGGGAGGTGCTTGCGGGAAGAGAATATGAAGTCAGAGCTGTATAGTGTCACGTGATTGTACGGTGATTGAGAGATCTTTGGAGGTGGAAAGTAATATGATGAGATAGTGGAGATTCTAGTATTATTCTTATTGTACAGGTATGTGGTAAGTGGTGTTCATTAAGCATCCTTGGTCTGTGTGCGCTCGTCGTTGCCCTGGCGTTTCCAGCACTCGCGGAAGGTTTCCATCTGATTCAACATTAGAGTCAGTCACAGCATAACGGCGAAGATGGATGGAGTATTATACCTCACTCTGGCACTGGCGCCAGTCCTTCTTTTCGAACCAGCAGTCGTTCATTTTCATCTGCTCCGCTGTAATTGTGTTTAGTAGCTATCTGAAATAAGCAATAAAAGATGGTATCGTACCTGCACAGCCGGTGCTGAAGATCCGCTTGTCCCTGGATGGATGGGATGTACCGTCAGCTCAACTAAACTCCCTTCCTCCGATCTTCGCATCCCAACAACTCACCATTCGTCCGGCTCGTCGTCCTCCTCCTCCACCTCCACGGGCGGGTTCTGCCTTTTCTCCTGGTCCGACATTGTGCCTGTTTGCTTGCTTGACTGCTTGATTGCTTGTGTGGTGCTCTGAGAGAGAGTTGCAGGTAGTTGCCGCAAAATGGCGACCCCCAATATGACCGGCAAAAAGGTCAACGTTCTGGTCTATTCCGGTGCGCCACTCTCCCCTCTTCTCCCCGCTCAGCATCAACGATATCCTTCACTTTGCACTCAACGAAACCTACGTACGATACTCTTTTCTTACTAAGTCCTAATTTGATCTCTAGGCAATGGAACCACCGTCGAATCGGTCCGCCACACCCTCTACTCCCTCCGCCGCCTTCTAGCCCCCCACTACGCCGTCATCCCCGTCACCTCCGATGCCCTCCTCCACGAACCCTGGACCGCTACCTGCGCTCTCCTCGTCATCCCCGGCGGCGCTGATCTAGGCTACGGCCGCGTCCTCAATGGCCCCGGCAACCGCCGCATCGAACACTTCGTCAAGCGCGGCGGCGCTTACCTCGGTTTCTGCGCGGGTGGGTACTACGGTTCCCAACGCTGCGAGTTCGAAGTCGGCGATAAGACACTTCAGGTCATCGGAGAGCGCGAATTGGCCTTCTACCCTGGTACATGTCGCGGAGGGGCGTTCGCGGGGTTCGTCTATCACAGTGAGGCGGGGGCGAGGGCGGCGGAGATTTCGGTGAATAAAGATATTCTCAATGCGGGGATTGTGCCGGAGCGGTTCAGGTGCTACTATAATGGAGGTGGGGTGTTTGTGGATGCGCCCACGCTGGCTGACAAGGGAGTGGAGGTCCTGGCTAGCTTTGAGGAGGAGTTGAATGTTGACCCCGGGGAGGGGAAGGCCGCAGTGGTATTTTGTCGCGTTGGCGAAGGGAGGGTTGTTCTTACGGGACCGCATCCGGAGTAAGGCTCTTTACCCTCCGTGGTCTAACTGTCTAGGTGATGTGTGTGCTGATGGTTGGTAGGTTTGCAGCTGCAAATCTGGATAAAAAAGCCGGTGGCCCCGAATATACAAAGGTCATAGAGGCGCTGGAGGCTGATGACAAGGCGCGCACGGACTTCCTCAAGGCATGTCTGGTCAAGCTGGGCCTGCAGGTGACGCAGAGCACAACCACCGTGCCGTCGCTGTCGTCGCTGCATCTGTCCTCGCAGGAGCCGGCGGAGACGGCCGATCTGGTGGCGTCCTGGCAGGAAATCATCACCAAGGATGGCAACGAAGAGATTATCAAGGACGAGAATGACACATTCCGGATTGAGAGACCCGGCGCATGGAATCTGAGCCAGTTGGAAGATTCACTCCCGGCATCATCGCAGTCTACGGAGGGTATCGTGGATTACAACGCCATTGTCAAGCGGCTGGTGGTGCACGACGACGTGCCATCGTCGAAACTGACGCCCTACTTCAACCATCATGCCTTCTACTCCAACCTCCACCAGTACCAGTCGCAGTCCCGCGAGGGTGCATCCGAGTTTGGCGCCCACCTCGTGTACGGCGAGGTTGTTACCAGCACGAACACGATCCTGGAAAAGTAAGTGGACCTGTCCGATGACAGAAGCGAAACACAACTGACGGGTCAGAAACCCCAAGCTGCTGCGCAAGCTGCCTAACGGCTTCACCGCCAGCGCCACGACCCAGGTGGCAGGCCGCGGCCGCGGATCGAACGTATGGGTGTCGCCGGCCGGGGCGCTGATTTTCTCGACGGTGCTTCGCCACCCGTTGGAGAAGATTCAGTCAGCACCAGTCGTATTTATCCAGTATTTGGCGGCGATGGCAGTGGTGCAGGGAATCAAGAACTACGATGCGGGGTACTCGGAGCTCCCGGTCAAGCTGAAGTGGCCGAATGACGTGTGTAAGTGATACTTTCTTGAAGGATTTGATCAAGGGAATGGGACGGATGCTGACCAGCCGACAGATGCACTGGACCCGGAGCACCCGGAGAAGAAGCAGTACTCGAAAATCTGCGGCATCCTGGTGAACTCGCACTACTGCGCGAACGAGTACATCTCGGTCGTGGGCATTGGCATCAACGCAACGAACGCATCGCCCACCACATCGTTGACGGCGCTGGCGGCGCGGTTCCTGGGCCCCCGGGCGGCCCCGATCACGCTGGAGAAGCTGCTGGCGCGCATCCTCACGACGTTCGAGGAGCTGTATACGCGGTTCCTGCGGACCGGGTTCGATCGGTCGTTTGAAGAAATGTATTACGCGCACTGGCTGCACATGCACCAGGTGGTGACGTTGGAGGAAGAGGGGGGTGTGCGCGCGCGCATCAAGGGGATCACGCGGGATTACGGGCTGCTGCTGGCAGAAGAACTGGGCTGGAATGACCGACCGACGGGCCGGGTGTGGCAGCTGCAGAGCGACAGTAACAGTTTTGACTTCTTTCGCGGATTGGTGCGGCGAAAGGTGTAGTGGGGGAGGCCAATGCAGCCAGTGGATTTTTAGATTTTTAGTGTAGAGCGATTTTAGCAACTAAAGTAGCATAGGACTATAGAGATCGGAAATGTTGCTGGAGAGAGATAAAGTGCCGGAAAGGCGACCGAAATGAGCGACACGTACAGATACCGCATTGGGAAAGTCGAGCGCGGCACAAAACACTTGCATTTGCCTAATTCTGTAGGTGAAACCTGCCTCGGATCTGGCATGGGGGAAACACATGTGGTTGGGTCCTTGGTTCAGTGCCCCTGGGAACCAGGGAGTGAGTCATTCCGCGGAACATGAATAGTTAAACCACTTGGACGATCATCTTAATAGAAAGGGGAATCAATGAACGAATGAATGAATGAATGATGAACACACAATGAGATTATTATGGTCGGGAATGACGCAGTGGAGAGTTGTGCCCTAATCATTACTACTTAGTCTAGTATGGAGCCGGGAACAACCACGTAGGCCGTACCAGCCAATGCTATCGAGTCTAATATAGTACTTACTGCACCAGTACAAAGTAGATGGAAAGCCGTTGATGTTGGGAACCAACCAGGGTGGCTGCAGACTAATCATCCTCCAGGATGTAGTAGTATATTTCCTGTCAGCCTGGAATCCGGTTGGCTCTGCTCCTCTGAAGAGAAGGTATAGTGCTAGTGCACTATAGGCCAGGGGAATGCTTATGCAGACCCGGCGGTAATAAGAATGAACAGAGGGCGATGAAACCAGGCAAAGTCCGGTTCAACCAAGATACTTCCTTTCTCCACCCCTGAAGCCTGTCATGGCGGGCCTCCTGCTTCCATCCAGTTGGAAGCCCCGAGGCCTTCAGACTAGGGGTCGCCGGGACTCCACTGCGACGACTAATCATCTCAAGACTCTTTCCAACGGTCCATACTGCTCTTTTTTTTACTCTGTACTATCATGAGGATGGTTCGATCTGCCTCGGTTGCCGGTCATTCGGTTTGCTGGCAATCCTGATACTCCATCGGATTCACTTTCGTAGTCAAAACATAAATGAATCTAACTTCCCGCCCGGTACATTTATTTACCTTCATCAACCCCTCTTCTCGCCACTGGTTTGGCTCTTCTTTTCTCCTCACACACGCACTTTCTTGGGTTTCTCTTCTTCCCCCTCCCCCACTTCAACCTTCGCCATGTCGACACTTTTGTTTGTCGCAACGGCCTCCCCCATCCTCTACCTGCTATATGTGCTGCTCTCTCGCTGGCAACATGCCCAAAATGCCCGTAAATGGAACTGTGGGAGTGTGCCCTCTTACCCCGGGGATCTGCTGGGCATCAACACCCTGAAGGAGGCGCTGGCCATGGACAAGGCTCGCCAGGTGCCCACTGTGACCCGCCGGCGTGTTGAGACCATGTCCGCCCGCGAGAATCGCTATACCACCACTTTCCAATTCCGTCAACTGGGCACCGATGTCATCAGCACCTGCGATCCCAAGAACGTCCAGGCCTTGCTGGCCACCCAGTTCAAGGACTTTGAATTGGGCCAGTCCCGTCGCAATGCTCTGCACTGGCTGCTCGGCCGCGGCATCGTACGTCCACTACTACTACCTTTCCTATCCAAACCATCCCTCTTCTAACTCGTATCCAGTTCACTGCCGATGGCGACCACTGGTCTCGGTCTCGCGCTCTCCTCCGTCCTCAATTCACCCGCGACCAGATCAGCGACCTCGATCTCGAGGAGCGTCACGTCCAAGTCGCCATGAAAGCCATGCCCGTCGACGCCACCGGCTGGACCCCCGCCACCGACATCCAGACCATCTTCTTCCGCCTGACCATGGACACCGCGACTGAGTTCCTCTTCGGCGAGAGCGTCCAGAGCCAAGCCGCCGCCCTCAGCAACGGCGCCATTCCCCAGGATGACTTCCCTGCTCAGTTCGACCGCGGTCAATGGTACTCTGCCCAGCGCGCCCGCTTCGAGAAGCTCTACTGGATCATCAACAACAAGGAAAGCCGCGCGATCAACAAGGCCGTCCACGCCTACGTCGACCGCTTCGTCACCGCCGCCCTCAACTCCGATCCCGAGAAGAAACCCACCGGCCACTATGTCTTCCTGCACGGTCTGGCCGAGGCCACCCGCGACCCCGTCGAACTGCGCTCCCAGCTCCTTAACATCCTCCTCGCCGGTCGCGATACCACTGCCTCCCTCCTCTCCTGGTGCGTCCTCTTCCTCGCCCGCCACCCGGCCTACTTCACCTCCCTGCGCGCCACCATCCTCGCGGAATTCGGCTCCTACTCGTCCCCCCGTGACATCACCTTCGCCAATCTCAAGTCCTGCCGTCCCCTGCAGAACTTCCTCAACGAGGTCCTCCGTCTCTACCCTATTGTCCCTGGTAACCGTCGCACGGCTGTCCGCAACACTACCCTCCCCACGGGCGGTGGTCCCGCGGGCACCGACCCCATCTACGTCAAGAAGGGCCAGCCCGTCTTCTACAGCACCTACGTGATGCACCGTCGGCCTGATCTGTGGGGCGCTGATGCGGATGAGTTCCGTCCGGATCGCTGGAACGAGCGCAAGGCCGGATGGGAGTACTTGCCGTTCAACGGTGGGCCGCGGATCTGCATTGGGCAGCAGTTTGCACTTACGGAGACGGGGTATGTCCTGGTCAGACTGTTGCAGCGCTTCGATGTGATTGAGGGCGTGGGCAAGACCAAAGAGGGGGAGATCAATATGCAGATGAGTTTGACGAATGCGCCGGGAGATAATGTGACGGTGCGGTTGCATGAGGACACTTCTAACTAGTTTCTTTGTTACTGTTACTGCTGATGATTGATTGGGATACCCAATGTCCATATGTGTGTTAGCGTATATAGATTGTGATTGGCACATTGCATTGCATTACATACATCTTTCTACAACTCATACTGTATACCTACAGAGTAGACTTCAGCACAAAGCAAGGATTCAAACAAAGTTACAAAGTTATTTTTCTTCACCGCCTACGACATTCTTCTCCACTTTGACAGGGGCGCGGTGGGGAACTCGGACAACACCGATAGACCAATCACAGCTCATCAAATCGATTCAAATCCGGTGAATTTTCCGTGGTTCAGGTTCAACATTCACATTGACTTTGCCTCCATGTATTATGTAATATCCATACTTTTTGTGAAGAGGCGACTTAATTCAATACAATTATTGTGTATAGTATTTCTATATGTATATACCATCTGATTCGATATATATACATATATAAAAAACAAGAATCACGAAGGATCGATAGATCTAGACTTATCGGCCTCGCCGACGGTAAGCCCCGGATGCAGTCCAGTTGTCCTCGAGTGTCTCAGATTTGAGTTTACTTTTGCGAGCAAAGCGGTGTTTGTTTGTTCAGTTCGTGTTAGGTTCCAAGATTTGCTTTTGCTTTGCTTTGCTTCCCTTTCATCATGATCCTTGGTTCTGGTTCGGGTTGTTAGTCTACCATTGGTTTTCATGGACTTTCGTAAACGGGAGCTATTTCCGCTAAAGTAAGTAGCTTTTGCTTTGCTTGCTTGTGGTTGGGAAGTGGACATGTCATATGCATTGCTTTGATTGAAATTCGATTCGATTGGTGTTCTAGAATGTCTGATACGAGGAATATGGGGGAATCTTGAGTTTTGAGGGTGTGTAAGGGGCTTGCTTGCTGGCTTTTGCTGAGGGTAGACTAGAAGCTGGGGTTTCAGTCATATTTGTGCCATGTTGTATATATTGGCTGTAGTGAACGGAATACTTTGCGACTGTATGGTAGAGATACGAGTCAGGTGCTGTTGGCGGGCAATTGAGTAAGGACTCGAGCATGGTCATCTCATCCAGGGATCCTTGTCATGGAGATGCTCGGACTGCTAAGAGCTGTTCTTGACAGCTTACCCCCCCTGCAAGTGTGAGCTTACCCCGCAGTCAGATGCATGGATAATAGGCTTATCGGGAGGTTCAGATGATCTCTGGATTACTGTGGTTGGTGAGATTCTTGTTTGGGGGTGTACTTGGATTGCGAATCATTGTCTGGGCTGCTTATGTACATATGGCTCATGTAATACTGGCTATACAATGGGGATAATCTGTGCACAATAGTAGTAGTACTCTATGTAACCAAGGTTATATTTAGTGTTAGCATGCTGGGGTGCCTCCACCCACCCCCGCCAAGAAGTCAACAGCTCTGTACAATATAACTTAGGGTAGGGGTCACACACTGTAGTGTATGAAGTATACTATTAGCACAGTAATTTGGCTTTAATATTTATTCTATAGTTGGGATGCAAAGTCTGCGGGTCTGTTCCCTTAGGTATAGGAAGCGTAGCCCCTTATATACGGTGGAAGGTGTCATGCCATATCACGTGACCATTGCGTAGCAGGGAAGATAATAAAAGAAGAAATATATTTTTTTTGGAATAATCTATATATGTATCCTATACCTCTCAGTAATTAATTTCTGCATGGAAATGCGATTTTTTTGGTTGATAAAGGCTCTAGGGAATTGGCTAGTGAAAGTCCCGATGACCGAAGCCAGTTCGGTGTTCTCAGAAGAAAAGGACGCACTGTGTCGGAGGTACGGAGTGCCGATGACCGAACCATTGGGGGAATATTGCCCTGAATTGGCCCTTTAGGTTAGTGAGGGTCATCTTGGCCGTCGCGATCGACGTATCTTCACAACATATATCTTCATGCCTATTTCTTCCTTTGTCCTGCTGCAACCTGTGTTTCCATGACGGATGATGGACCCGTTGGGTAATAGAGTAACAGGGCACCGTCGCGCGCTGAAATGCACCTACTGTGCACGGTCGTTTGCGCGGACTGAACATCTTACACGGCATGAGCGCTCTCGTTAGTCAATTATTCCGCCAGACCCTCTGCACCAGCGGCACTGACTCTACCAGATCGAAACGAAAAGCCGTTCAGCTGCAATTACTGTAGCGCAACCTTCACGCGGAAGGACGTGATTAAGCGTCACCACCTCCGATACCACCCCACTATCCCTGAACCGGTTGGAGCAACTACAGCCTCTCGTGTGCTGGATAGCTCGCAGCTGGCGCCGTTGGCGATTAACTCACCTCAGGAGCCAATCCTCCATTGTTCGGAAGATGTTGGTTCCGCCGATACGGCTCCGAACAACGATGGAAATTCCCCAGGCCTGTTTATGGATAACTACACTCTCGACGCTATTCTCGCGGACTTTGACTTCCAGCCAGCTCCGAATGTAGAGTTTACTAGCAACCTCCCTGGTTAGGCAGACGTGTGACCCCGCGGGCCTTGCCGAACTGACGGTAAATTCTAGGCACTGTCACGTCCAGTCGCATCCCAGCCCAGGCGCGGGACCAGCTATCCTGGAGAGGATCTTTGGAACTGTCGGAGAAGAAGAGAATGCAAGTATATACTGAAGCAGAATCCGTATTAAAATCCGTAGGTACCAATGCTACCACAATGTTCAGCCTCACTAACATATTGCCACAGGCAGGAATCAAGCATATTGGCGATTTCCCTTCTCGATTGAGGTTGGAGCGGTTTCTCGTGGCTTTCTTCGAATTTTTCCTTGATTACCATCCGTTTCTTCATGTCCCGACTTGGCGTGCTGAAGAGGCCCATTCTTGTCTTCTGCTGGCCATGCTGGTGATAGGCGCGGGCTGCTACAAAGACTATGATATGGCCCATGCCCTGTACTGCGCCGGAAGGCACTCCGTCATGACACATGTATGTCTGTGATGTACACACTGCTCAAGCTTTCTTGCTAATTGTGTTGAGATTCTTACTTCGTCCACACCCGAAACACCTCTCTGGGCCACACAATCGCTGGTTATTCTAATATCCTACGGCACTCGTAGCGGAGATCAACAACTTTTCCACAACGCAGTGTCGTGGACATCAGCTCTAGCAAATGTATGATAGATCCCGCAACATATCACGGAATTTATGTTAAACATGACACGGACATTTAGGTTATCCGCTCTACGGGCCCACAAAGGAAGCACCGCGACTGGGAGCATGAATCCGAAGAACTGTGGGAGGATTGGGTTAACAACGAAATGGCCTTACGGTAAAATTCCGCAACCGCTGGTTGTCGCAGTTTCCATCCAATACTTATTGGATCTTATAGGACTAAATGGGCCGCTTTTACAGCCTTGAATGTTTTGACTGTTTGTTTCCATGTCCCTCCCACACTCCTGGTGCATGAAATGAGCAACGTCCCGTTACCGTGCAAAGAGCCCGAATGGGCAAGCCCTACTATGGAGTCGTGGCTAAGGGCGAGGCTGGCCCGCATTCAGAGTCGTCCGTGTTTGGGTGACGCGCTGGCTGCTCTCCTGTCCCCGTCCCCTCTGCCGACGGATGCTGTCAGCGTCTTCGGAACATATGTACTTTTGCATGCGGTTCTGCAGAAAGCATGGGAATTCCGGCAGAATATCTGGCTAGAGTCAGCGGAGCTCACGAAATATTTAGAGAAGTTCGAACTCACACTTCGAAGATGGCACACCTGCTGGGAAGGCAACGTGGAATCCTCCGTCTCACCACGAAATCCGTACAGTGCCGTCAACGGCTAACCCTGCCGCACTGTTTCGCCTGGCTTATACGTGGATTGGAGTCGACTTTACCCCAGTGAGGACCGCTATCGCCTCCCATAGTTCAGAAACTATAGAGTTGAGCTTCAAGCAGCTGGTGATCCCAATTTCGCAGTCGGATCTTACGATGAGAATTGTCGCACACGCAATCGGCGCGCTGAGTACCCGCGTCAAATTAGGGATGGCGCTGCCGGAGCAACGGCTGTCGTGTTTTCAGAGTTTTGAAGTTCATCTCTTCTCTATAGAATGCTGTGAGTGAATATATATCCCCCCCCCCAGTCAGGTCATCCCACCAGGTCATACACCCGGCTGACAATAATTGCGCTTAGGCCTATTTTCCTACCACTGGTTGAAAGAGACACAGAACCGCCTCGAACTTGAGTGGTCACCTGAGGAGACAGCAAGGATCAAACAGGTCCGTGAGATCTTGTCGGAGGTAGATCTACCTGCAATCCATGCTCAGAAGTCTGATGCTGTTCGTTTAATATACGCGTGGGCGTTGATCTTAAGTCGTCGGGCTGTATGGAAATTGCAGAAGATCGTGGCAGATTCGCTGGAGCGGTATGCAGACAGCTTATATCATTCGGAAACCTCGGCATTAAGCAAAAGTCTATCGAAGTTTCCATATTGACGGTGGGGTTTCTCCCTGGCGGGGTCCAGCTTGGGGGTCTCTTCGGTGGGGTTTCTTCGGTGGGGAATGGCTTAGGGACTGTTTAGCTGGCGGGGTACTGGTTGAAGGGTCTCCTAACGATCTAACTGCCTGGCGATTATTCATTGGGCATTGCTTCTCATTGCAATATGCTATGTGCGTCATCTTACAGCACAATAGCTCATTTACACAAGTAGCGCGAGGCTCTCCAATGACTAATCCGCTCCATAGGCCTCTTCTCTGGGCTCAATGCTCTCAGCTACTACCTACCGCATTGCTGTAACCTGGTCATTAATGCGGTGGACTTACCACTAGCCAATAAAAGAGAGATTATGTCCGCTCCACTGTGCCCTAGTAGGTAATTTTTGACCCCAAATGCCAGATATAAAACGTCCGACTCCAGCTCTAGTATCGCCTATTCTAGCCACCATTGTCTCACGCAACCTTGCAGTTCATCCCGGACATCCCTACTAGCCTCCCGCTCTCATGACACTCTCTGGCCGTGTGGTCGTCGTCACTGGCGCCTCCAAGGGCATCGGGAAAGAAATCGCCCTGCGAGCTGCTGCCGAAGGCGCCAATGTCGTCATCAACTACCTGTCGGATATCAAAGCTGCAAATGCCCTGGTTATGCAATTAGGACACGACCGTGCTCTGGCAGTGCGGGCTGATACTTCCAATATCAACGAGGTGGACAGCTTGATCGAGGCCACGGTGTCTCGCTTCGGAAGAATCGACATCCTAATTCCCAACGCGGCTTACGTTCCGGATCGAACCCTGCAGAACGTCTCCGAAGAAGATTTTGACCGCGCCTTCGCGGTCAACGTCAAAGGACCTTGCTTCCTAGTACAGGTGCGCTATTCCATTACACCGACCGTATTACCTGGGGTGAGTGTGTCGGGGGAGCAAAAAGCCGTGCTGACGGTTCTCAGAGAGCACTACCTCACATGACGTCCGGTGGCACGATTATTTTTATCTCCACTGACATGACCGACGCGTCCACTGTGATGCCCCAATTCCTTCTCTATGTGTCGACCAAGGCGGCATTAAATCAAATGGTTAAGGTGCTTGCACGCGACCTTGCCGCTACGGGTATCCGAGTGAATGCGGTCTCTCCGGGTGCAACAAGCACCGAGTCATTCCACAAGGCTATGGATGAGAACAAGGCCAAGATGCTTGCAAGTCACCATCCTTTCAACCGCATTGGGCGCGCGGACGAGATTGCTGCAGCCGTGAGTCTCCTGTGGAGGAAGGACAGCGGCTGGATCACTGGCCAAGTTCTGCGAGTGAACGGGGGCAGTGTTGTCTGACCGGAGAGGGGGGAGGTCATTGGCAGTGGGGAGCGCATGGAAAGATAGAACTGAGAGCGACTTGCCTACAGTATTTTGACAACTATTATCTATATCACATACCCTTTAGCTATGTAAAAAACTGTGCCTCTCAAGTAACCTGCATCTGCCGACTTCAATCCATCTGGTGGTGTAAAGTACACCCTATATTCCATGTAGTAAAATAAAAATTGAGTGGCCTGCGTAAGGTCACCGGTGGCAGCATTGATCTAATGGGGCACCCGGAACCCTCCCACCTCGATAACAATATTTCATATCAGGGTCGCTCCCCTCCCCTCCATCCACCCCCAAACCCCCAATTCTCAACCCCCCTCTGGAATAGTGGGGTCAAGTGGGGTATCGGAGAGATGCCTTTGTCGAATATCCGAGACCTGAGTTGCGCCAATTGCCTGTCGTAATGGAATCCAGTATGAACAACGCCATCATGGTTTCCAAGTTGATGGCGTGGTCCCATTATATGCTTGTATTATAGGAGACCCAATAGTGGACGGTATATATATAAGCGTGTCGTTGACCATGATAGTCAACCATCCGAATTCAAAGAACTGCCTGTCAAACCTCTGGAAGTCTCTCCCGATATATATCTTTGCCATCTTGCGACGATGTCCATCAACGCCAGTAACTCTGGACAAAACCCTGTCCAACTTCCGCCTCCGTCCCAACTCAGGGACCTGCCACCAGCCCCTATCTACGATGTGACCAAGTTCCCCGATGAGAGAACTCAAAAACTACGTACTCTACTTCAAGCCGGCCATGTCAAAGTGGCTCCGCTACGCGACCCTGAGTTAATCCTCCATAGCCATCTCCCCCATGTATGTTGACATCGCGCACCTGCTGCATCATCCAGTCACCACGAAGTGATGACACCTAACACAGCCTGCAGTTCTTGGGTTCAGCATATGGTCTTGGAGCCAGCAGCGACCAGCTAGAGAAATCGTACGAGCATGAGATCACCCAGCTTGTGCCTATTGCCCGTGGCTTTATCCGCGGAGATGCGATCACCAAGGACAATTGGAAGGATTTCCTAGCCCAAAAACAGTACGTGGATAGACCTAGAGGACCCTGGAGACAAGAGAGCGAGGCAACTCTTGGCTTATCATCCTGAGCATAGGTATACGGTTGCGTATCAGGACTTTTTCGATCGTGAAGTCGAAGAAAGACAGGGCGATTGGGGTAAGGTCCTAGAAGAGTACCTGTATACCGGGCCTCAACCGCTCATTAATGGCTGCACTGGAGGACGTGAGTAGCCTAGTCTTGGTCAAATCGGACCACCACACGCTTCTCAGTACGCTAACCCGCACGCAGTCGGCCATCCTTTGATCCATCTGGCGTATGCATACGAATTCCGCAGTAAAGAGGTGGCAACTCAGGCCTTGAGCCAGGGCTGCACGGAGTACAACCCACTGCATTATCTACTGGATCAGCCTCCATCAGACAGTGCGACGTACAAAACAACCTCACTGTCCGCTGTGTTCGAAAGGGTACGCACCGATGTGCGGCTGGACGGGCTTTTCTCGGAGCCTGGGATTGCGAACCTGGAAGTCCTACAGAAACCGGACCGCCTCGCTATTGTGCTGGAACACTGGACTGCCTGGGAGGTGAATGATCCGTTGCGGTGTTTTGAGGAGTTTTGCGACCTATCAGTCCTCCTTGCACTAAGCAACGGTAATCCTCATGATTCCTTCGATTTCTACAACGCACATATCATGACGGTAGCGCATGCGCTACGTATCTTGTGGCATTATTTTCCACCGCAACAACGCGTTTCTGTCTTGCGGCAGTATGCCCTCTTCGGGATCATGACCTATATCTGCCAGCAGCGCCCACGCTTTGACTTCGAGCTTATAGAAGCCATTAAGCTAGACGGCCGTGATTGGGACTGGGTGATTGATACAGCATTGCCGCATAAGTGGGCTTTAGATGTGCATTTTTTCAAGGTGATCCGTGCCGCCAAGGCGTTTGAGGAGACTTTCGGCCGCAAAGATAATTTCTATTTGAAGGCTGCGGTTAAATATGTGACGGAGTTTCGAGGGTGGGAGGGATACGGCAAGGGCGTGGCTGGATTTATTCCGAGCCGGGATGGATACAAGCCCGAATGAAGTCATGCAGTCTTATTACTTGTGAACAACAGTGAAGATGTAACTACTGTGAGTGATGAGAGTACAGGAACAGAATACAGAGAACACGTTGATGTACGGACGCGACGACCTTTCCTTCTCGAGGATTGTGATGAACAGAAATGCCAAAATCTTGGCTCCAGATTGTTGTCGAGGTCTCTGTTCTAAGCCCATGCATCGATGCCTTGCGCATTCAACCCGCCTTGTCCGGGTAATTGTAGGTCATCTCGCGAATCAAATAAGGGTCGGCGAATAACTTGATATGTTGGGAATTATTTGGCTAGAGGTATAGCACACTACAGCCTTGCGTCGGAACCCCGCCAGGTTATAACTAACATAACTCCCGGCCGGGTCAGCCACCTATTTAGTTCTATACAAAGGGACAAGTTTTTTGTATAAATTGTAATATCTTAACCAGTGTAAGAGATGTTACTCGAGAACTATATATATAGATATATTAGATTATAAAATAATTATTCGAAATCTTATGGGATTTCCTAATTATGATCGGATACTCTTTTACTGTTTAGAAAGTAAATATTTTATTCTCACCATAATCAGCGCCCTTTAAATATATGAAAAAGTACTAGTAATATTATTTATTATCTTTAATTAATATACTATATAAGTTGATAACTCTTATTAGAGAGCTTCTGTATATATAAAAACTGTAGCTGTAGTATATCTTATTTTATCTTTCTAAGTAGCGCCAGTAATTGAAACATGCGTATGACTTAAATCTAGTTTGAGTAGTGAGATATAGTTATAGATTATAGAATGATATGTGGAAGTAACATAGCCTCCAGAGAGCTCAACTTTGCGAGACATTGTGAAATTTGTGGCACGCGAAGCCCGAAGCAAGAGTCAAACACTAGTTTGCAATGGAAAAGGTTGTGGGAAGACTGAGATTATAGGGAACAATGAGACGCCTTGAGAAATTCAATGGGGACTGGTGCAGATCATCTTCGGAGTGCTGTGGCGATGGGCGGGATTCCTTCGGATGACTGCCGTTACCTAATGGTGACCTTACCCCACCGTTAGTGCCTGTTTGTGTCGGTCGGATTGGGGTTCTCACTATAGACGTTTTCGAGCTGTTTTCGGCAGGAGAAATGGGGTGGTTCCACTTCAACGTACTTCCGAGTCTGGGCATGAGCAGGCAGGCAGTATGGACCACCAACCTTAAAAAAGAACAACGACCGTTGATGTAAGGGGGTGCACCCCGATTGCGAAACCCTTTCTGCAGCAACCAACGATCTCTTCCACGATGGCTTTTCCATACAAAAAAATACTCCTTATCGGAGCTACTTCGGGTAAGTAATGAAGTCGTCATGCTTCTATGCCCCCTCCGGGACGACAAGCAAGTATCGTTTCATGGTTAACGGAGTTTCCCAGGCATCGGTCGAGCCTTAGGTGCCAGCCTGATCCAACATGGCCGCTTTGTAATTGCAGTCGGTCGGCGGCAGGAAAATCTTGATCGCTTTGTCCAAGAACACGGCACGGAGAATGCAGCCGGCATTCAGTTTGATATCAACAAGCTGAATGAAATCCCACAGTTCGTGAAAAGGTAACTTCCCTGTCGGTCTCGGAAGTCACTCCCATAACGACCTGCGGCGTGCTAAGTATGCTCCCCATTGTCTGGCTAGTGTCACTTCGTCCCATCCGGATCTGGATTGCGTCTTCGTCAACTCGGGAATGCAACGGCGGTCGGTCTTCACAGAACCGGAATCAATCTCTATCGATGAGATCCAGGCCGAGATGACTGTGAGTGAAAGCAATGGCCTTCAACTACGGTGTATTCTTATACCAAGTGATTCTCTTACCAGGTCAACTATATCTCTTACGTCTCACTGACGAAAGAGTTCCTGCCGTTTTTCATGGCTAAAGAGAACTCACTGACTTCGTTTATATTGTATGTCCCTGCCTTCATCTCGGTACCCGTTTATTAACTCGGAGACTTCAAAGCACCTCGTCGAATCTTGCCCTGGTTCCGATCCTTCGCTGCTCCAACTACTGCGCTTCAAAGGCCGCACTTCACCAGTGGGTCTTGTGCCTACGAGAACAGCTCAGGGACACCAACATCAGAGTAGTTGAGATTTTTCCGCCAATCGTACAAAGTATGCATTATCTGACGGGGACTCTTTCTTGACTCAACGCGGGACAACCAAGGCAAATCACTAATCGTGGTTTTCTGTAGCCGAACTACACGATGAAAAGAACCAACCTGATATGGCCCACATGCGTGGTCGGGCCTTTGGTATCCCCGTCGACCAATTCACTACAGAGGTATGTTCCTCCGGAGCCGGTTTCTCCCTGTCTTGGCCTCCCTGTGACTGATCTCTAAATCGATGGCTCAGGCGATGAAGAAGCTTTTGGCCGGCGACGACCAGATCCCCGTAGGATTATCTACCATTGCTTTCGACAGCTGGGAGCAGCAGCGCCAGCAAGCTTTCCATAGGGTGGTGGAGATGATGAGGAAGGGCGAGTTCTAACGTTTTCCCTACTGTCATATGTCGGTCTTTATTGTTAGGAATTTTACATGTGTTTTCTCCATCATGGTTAGAGTCCAGAATGCTTAGTAGATCCCCACTATTGGCCTATCCGCGCATTAAGTGTCATACGTCCCCGACCTAGCTGTATTGTGCGGTGTCTGGACAGGGCATTGAAGCTATCTAGGCACACATTTCCGGTTCACCTTGCCCATTCGAGGTTGGTGGGGTCGAACCCCACTCCCGGGATAGGGGCGCGCCCCCGGGCCCCTATGTATGTACGCTGTTGTCTCCCCAATAACAAGTACGCCATGGACTGCGTAAATAACTACGTGTAGTTGCTCATACGATTGGGCTAGCTTTCAATATTGAACGTCCGGGCTCCTTTCCATGCGGAGTTGAAGGGCTTCGTCCGAGATCAATTTGCAAGACGGGTGAAAACAGATTGGTATGCTCTACTGGGGAAACTCAATTACATCAGGTGGAAACGCTCAGTGGGGTTGAAATTCGCAGTCAACATATACTGGAGAGCGCTCCGCCTTTCCTGGCATATTCTTGAGAGAGTGCCTATCAAAGGCTCTGCAACAGTTCCACTGCCGTAAAGTTGATTCAAAGCTCATTTGATTGTCTAATGTCGGTGCAGGGTTACTCCAACTGACACATTGCCTCGCCAGGCAAGAGCCCTCACACACACCAATTGTATGGAGCCTCGCTCCCCTTGGGCTTCTGGATGGTCATCTCCGATTGATAGGCTTACTGTACATAGCGTCCCTCATCTAATCAGCCTCTTTGATGGAGACCCGCTTCCGGAAATGCTCCTCCACCGTCATCGGCTTTCGACCAATCAACCATTCCAGCACATTAGGATTGCCTTTGATACCATAAATGTCATAGTAAAGCTGCAGTCGATGGATACCGTCCCGTGTGGTATGATGGCAGCCACCAGCATCCTTAGACACCAAGGACTGCAGCCGCTCAGCGGTCTCGTAGAACTCCTGCGTCACAATACTGATGCGTGTACCTGTTACATGACCGAGCGTGGCGACGATATCTCGATATGAGGTGGGCCTGGTTGAACAGATCATGTACTCGGCGAGATAATGTCTGTCCCTTTCCTCAATCACCTTGGCAAAAGCCTCTGCTAGGTCCTGCAAAATGGTGAACGAGAAGGCCGTGTCTGGATTAAAATTTGCGCGGAAGACAGGCTCCGCTTGATGCAGCAACGTTTCAACCGGGAACATGTCGAGAAAATGGCTGGGCTGAAGAATCGTATAGTTGAGTCCTGATTCGATCAGGTATTCCTCAACGTAGCGCTTGCAGTCATGGTTCATCAACTTCCGAAGCTGCGGGTGCAGCACAGAGGAGTAAATGAAGTGCTTAAAAGCCCCGTTCCGAGCCTCATGACGCGCAGCTTCAATCATGGCATAGCCAATTTCTGCTTCCTGCGGATGAAATGCTGGGGCAATATATACGACGACTGTAGCACCGGCCAAAATCTGGTCTCTGTATTCTGGCTTGGCTATATCGCCCTGCACCACCTCGGCCTCCGGATAGCGCGAGTTCAGATCCCTCTCGGATTGAACGCTGTGAACAGCGAGGCGGAGCTTCCTCCACCTACGGTAGAGGAGCGGGATCAGATGGGAACATTGCTTACCACTTGCGCAAGTGAGAAGGACAATGTCATTTTCAAGGTCGATAGCCATGGTCATTTAGCCGCTCAAAATTCGGTCGTTGAAGGGACAATGGAAAGAGAGTGAATGCCAGTTTCCTCGTAACAGAGCTAGGCTGAAATATATAGCCCTGCAGAATAGCGGTAACGTAACTCCCGCCCGCGCCGGCCACCCCGTTTCTACATGCAACCACTCTTTCTATCAAAGGCAGTGAATGAGCAATGAGTAGTACAGTGATTCTAAGGCGGTGTGCTAGGGGTGGCCGGTGCGGCCGGGAGTTACGTTAAACGAACATTCACTGCGTCATCCACCCCGATGAAGTCATGGAGCCTATGTTCACGCGGCTGGTGGGGTGGTGGGGTAGGGCCCCTTGATGCGTGCCTACCTCCACATCTCCCCACTCCTTGACCCCAACACCCTTAGGTCACTCTACTAGCCAATGAGGGTAGTTAGATCGAACAAGCCTGGCTCCCTTCACGACTAACCCTGATGGTATTCACTAGGTTACTGCCCCTGGATGTGCCTCGGAATACCCTCGGAATACCCTGTCCCCATCCGGAAGCTGATAACCACCTCGTACATATTCAAGACGCGCAAGGTCCCCGTCAAATAATGTAGTATGTCAACCAAGAGACCGCAGAGTCGGGCATAGCCTCTCAGCACCTTTGAAAGTTTTTTTTTTTTTTTTTTTTTTTTTTTCGTATTTTTTTTTTTTTTTTCTCTTTTTTTTTTTTTTTTTTTTTTTTTTTTTTTTTTTTCGTAATAAGCATTACATCTACATTGACTGGCGTACGATTAGTCGTTCCTTTCCCTCTTGAACAGGGAAGAACCACCAGGGCATTGTTCGAATGGAAGTCCAGATGGAACAAGGCCTCAACCCCCCAAAGCCCTAGAATGGTCGCAATCTAAACGACTTGTGCATGTTTTCCTCGTCAGTGCCTTGACGCTGGTAACGTACACCTAGTCTATCCGCCCAGGTGACGTAGGCGCTATTATGGATATTAGCACATTGCTTCCACTAGGTATCAAACAGGTTTATCTTTACAACTGTTTCTACACATGCATGGTTTATATGAGGGTCTGGACAGAGGTATAGAATATCTTTCGCCAGGGTACTTGAGATGCAATCTATTCAACCATAATCAGTTCTGTTTTCCTTTGCTTATGCAGCCAGTGACGGAACCAAAGAACAGCAGCATCCTTCGCCCTCTCTGCACCCAGCATTTCCTCCCTGTCATTAAGGTTCCCGCGCGTTGCAAATCCATGGGTTAACGACGGGAAATACTGGTAGTCGTAGGGGACGCCTAACATCGGCAAGACCTCATTGCTGAGTGCCTTCAGCTCCTGCGTAAACTGAGGGTCATGTTCTGGTGCCATGACCTGGACAGGAACGTCAACCTGCCGGATCTCCTCCGGCTCTAGGAACGTAGGATGTGCTGTGGAAATGCAGTCAACCAGTCGAACATCCTTAGCTCCGAGCCGAAAGACCGCCCAGCCACCGAAGCAGAACCCGATCGCGCCAAGGGATGTATACCCGTGCTCAATGCGTAGGGCTGTGGCACAGGCGAAGATCTCCGGCTCTCTGATAAGCTTCGTATTGCGGCTCAGGAAGCCAGGGAGGTCGAGTTCGTTCCATCTTGTCTCGTCGAGGAGGATGTCAAGGGGCAGAGCCTCGCCTCCGAAGCTAGCATGGATAGAAATCAAGCATCAGAAGAGTTTCTCCCATTGTGCGAGTGGCTGTAAGGAAATACTCACAAATCAGGGACGAAGACCGTCGCACCAACCTCTTCCGCCAGATGGTCCGCCAATATGCGAGTGTTGGTGAACGTCCACCCGAAAAGGTCGTGAATCAGTAGGATAGCAACATTGGATTCCGTTCCAGTCCTGTAACAATTTATGCCAGCGAGTATAACCTCTTGGCCCCGAGGTGTGCCATTCCAGCGAAATCCCTTTAAGCAACAGTCACTCATTCTCGTGGCCTGCGATGGCTGACGATCAGATTGACAGAAATTGAAAGCAGCCCTTGTAACAGAGGGAAGTACTTTGCAATGAGCCTGGGGTATCACTAGGTACTCCCGGAGTGATATTGTAGGTCCCCCCAAGAGGCGACAAGCACTGCTCGGCTACTCGCAGAAGCCGAGCCTCCGCTTACAAACCACGCTGCGGGCAGAGTCTCAGATCGCCGGGGACGGCGCGGGTTGATTACGCTGATAGAAAATCCGTGATGATCCAAGATATAGAGCTCGGTCTTCCGACACAAGCTATCTCCGTCATCCTCCCGGAGATAGGACGGCTTTTGGACGAACTGTGAAGTTGGATATACAAGTATGCCGTCACCAAACCCGTGAAAGTGTAAGAGGTGCGTATTGACAGACAACATCATGCCATTAAGCTATTGTATTTTCCAAAGTCCGAAGGCCCGAAGCCCGATGGTTCAGTCAAACTAGAGCAATAGGCCAGTCAGTACCCCTAACTCTCAGCCGTAGCATTGAGGAGTCTAAAGATCTAAAACATCACACGTTTGCAGCCCTTCATAGAATTCGCTATTCATCCAAGCCGGCGCTTTTGATTTTGCATTCCGTTCTGGTCTCTTCGGTTCCGTTAACCCTTGACGTTGCAAGAATTACTATTTCAATATGACTGTGAATGGCCCCACGACCGCATTCCAAGGCGTTGTCGTCGTTGGTGCCGGTCCGGTGGGACTTCTGATTGCTCTTCGACTTGCGCAAGCTGGCATCCGTGTCCAAGTCCTCGAAAAAAATCCCAATTTGAGCGACGCTCCACGGGCATCTGGTTATTTCGGAGGCGCATTATTGGCTCTGAAGAAGGCAGGAATGCTGGACAAGGCGCTTTCCCTTGGTTTTGCGGGGCGAGGGATTGCTTGGAGAAAGCCTTTGGCCGACGATGGCCTTGGGAATAAGCGTATGGGAGACATCCTTGCTCACCTCAGTTTTCCGAGAGACAGTACCACTCTAGATGGAACAGATGCTATTCTGTATCTCCGTCAGTCTGTACTCTCAGAATTGATCTTCAATGAGGCGCTGCGCTCTGGATTGGTCGAAGTCCACTTCAATATGGAACTAGTGGGCTTGGAAAATCAGCCGGATTCTGTGGTAGTTACGGCGCGAGGAAGTGATGGCACTACTCGCCTGTTCCGTGGGTCGTTCCTGGTGGGGGCAGACGGTGGGAAATCCGCGGTTCGTAAACATCTGGGAATCCCCTTCAAAGGCCACACGTGGCCAGAGAAACTTGTGGCGATAGATGTCCTCACAGAGGGCGCGGCTCCGGATCCTCAATTTCCAACCTCTATGATCATTCATCCAATTCATTTCGGCGTCATCACCCCGCTGGAGAAGCCCCAAGAGGGTGAAAAGACCCTGTTTCGCTGTGCAGTGGCTTTGGATCCAAAGGATACCCGTTCTGACGAGGAGCTATTGTCAGAGGACAGCCTATCCTCTCTACTGGGGGAGATGATGCCTGGGCCGAGACCATTGCCTGCCCGGGTGGTTCGCTCTTCCCCATACCGGATCCATCAACTCTGTGCCTCGACATTTCATCGAGGCCGATGCATCTTGGCCGGTGACGCAGCTCACCTGAACAATGTAAGCGGCTTGCTCCCATGCCATCCTACCATGTCGTCTGGATAATTGACTCGTAGGGTAGCCTGTTGGCGCGCTCGGCTTGACAACCGGTATCCTCGATGCTGAAGCTGCTGCAGATGCTTTAGAGCTTATCATCAATGAAGGGAAGCAGTTGGAAGCGCTGCGCATATACTCGCACGCCCGTCAGAAAGCCTTCCAGACTTTCGTGAATCCTGTCTCTACGGCCAACAAATTGCGCATCGCCAATGATCCTGAGGCCGCCACTGAGGACTGGTTTTTGCGGGCAATGCTCGACCCTACTCCTGAAACTATCGAGGAGTTTACCAAACCTTTTTTCGGCATCTGGAGAACGAACATGCGCGAGGAGATGCGGCGCAGACAACTCTAGACTTGATACAATGTGTCCACTGGGTCGAAACCAATTAGTGTGCTTTAGTCGTGTTGGCAAAAAGACTAGTTCACCCTGTTCTATCTTATGTCAATGGGCGAACGCCGAACCTGAATTCTCAGAGGCATCCTTGACATACACGATAACAGCTCGGGGGCTGGGCCAGGTATGTAAGTGGCAGCCAGAGCGAAGTGGGTTGGCGAGCTAGTGATAGAAAGAACAAGATTCACCTGCTAAATATTGATAGCGATCCAGCGCTAAACAATAATGTACTTAGTTCTGTATTACCAGTGGCCTGAAAAGCTGGCCTTTTTTTCTCGCTGCAGGACGAAACGCGCAGAGGGATTCTACTTGGAAGGCTAAGGCTTTTGGTTCGCACTCCGCGTACTTCATTGATAGGTGCGTGCGGGCCCGCAAGGGCCGCAACCGGTGAAAGAAAATGAAATCAAGATAAATAATTCGGAAACTTCTTTGACCTCCTTTGAAGAATAATTTTATCAATCTCCACCACCCAATTTATTCCAAATATGGATTCATCGCCTCGTCGTCCCCTTGAAATTGTGCCCGAAGACATCACGCCTGCAGACCATGAGATCCTACTGCGCGGCGGCACATCTTCTAGCATTAAATGATTTCCTTCAAGCCTGCAAAGATCAAAATGTGCATCTACAGATCTGCATCACCAGTTAGAGGATCTAACGTACGAAGTCAGCTACCTTAAGGCCGAGCTTCAGTGGGAGAAAGAATCGAAGTAGGTCCTCTTGTTTTTCCAGGACGACATGTTTCGTCTCTTTCATCAGCTGGAAATGGCTCTGGCTCAAGTCAGTGCAAGATTGAAGGACTGTGAAAAGCATTACTATGAAGCATGGGGCTTTTCCACTACCCCAACTGAAGAAGGAATGATCTAAGAAGCTCAGGGCTATCGGGTACGGTACGACTTGTACCCGATGATATGGTATGCAAGCGAATACATCACTGGCAGTAATCTAAATATCGAATACTTAGGCCCCATAGAAGAACCGCAGCTGCGTTCAGTCTATTGGAAGACCCTAGTGTCTGGTGAAAGGACGATTAAATCCGAATAACTGCCCAGTAACATAGAGAGTGGCCTAAATTGGTCAAACATCTGAAGAGGAGAATTCTATGCTTGCGGCCTCATTTGATGACAAGCCCTTAGCACGGATAAAAGCGTGCTTAGTATGTGTAGGCTGTTTCTTCCCCTGGTCTAATTTGAAGTGCTATGTTCTTCGTTCTATCTCGTGCTAGTGTCTTCATACTCTTAGAAGGCTCTAATTGTCCTATATCCTCCCATCTCTAGATCTGGACTATATAGGCGTCAATTGAGTGACAGTGGCAGGGTGATTATTGGCAGTATAAAGATATTTGTCTATATTATAAGCGACTGATGGCAACGCGCCCACCTGACTATTTCGGTAGACTTGAATTAGCAGGATACTGTATCTTACGGTTAATATATAATTAGTGCAAGAGTTAGCGATATAACAACGCGGAATAGCTATCCCTGGCTGAAGTTCTGCCCTTCAATCTTCGAGGTGTAATCCAGCGGCAACATCCGTTGAACACGTGCGGGAAGGAAGTCCCCGACGGACTTGTCGACGCGACGGACTCTCTATGTTTTCAGAGTAACCTCAAATATCCGCGCCTTCCGGGTTGACAGCATAAGATGATATCAGTGTAATATAATAAGTAAGCAAGTAAGCAGGATCTGACGAAAAATGTTCCTATCCCGTGATACACTAACAGAGAAGCCAATCATGTTTCCGCCGAAACCGGCACTTTCGAGGTACCACCACCACTATAACATCATCCCACTTATATACCTCACAACAATATAAATACTGAAGTTCCTATACATCGTCAACACCAACAACTGATCCATCTACAACCACTAGCTATTAAACATCAATGTTCCGTCCTCGCCTACCACTCTCTCCTCACCGCATCTCCCATCTTCTCTCCCACCCCGCCAAAATGTCTGACTGGAGCGCAACCCAATACCTCAAATTCGCCGACGAGCGCGCCATCCCCGCCCAAGATCTCCTATCACACATCCCCCTGCAATCTCCCTCTCACATCGTTGATCTTGGCTGCGGCCCCGGAAACTCCACCGCCATGCTTTCCGCCCGCTACCCATCCTGCCCGAGCATCTCCGGCATCGACTCCTCCCCGAACATGATCGCCCGCGCTAAAGAATCATCTAACAACAATACGACCTTCGCCGTGGCGGACGTGGAATCTTACTCTCCCCCGCCCAACCAACCCGTAGATCTCTTCTTCTCCAACGCTGTCCTGCACTGGCTTCCCCGTTCTACTCGTCTCCCTACTATCCGCAGACTCCTACTTACTCTTCCCCCGGGCGGGGTTTTCGCCTTCCAGGTCCCGGATACCTTGAACGAGCCATCGCATACGTCTATGCGAGAGGTCGCGAGGACGGGGCCCTGGGCGGAACATCTACGGAGTACGTTGGTGGAAAGGGACGAGTTGGATTCGCCGGGGGAGATCTATGATGCGTTGGTGGATGTTTGTGAGAGTTTGAGGATTTGGGAGTCGATGTATTATCATTCCCTTGGGAGTTGGGGGGAGATTGTGGAGTGGGTGAAGGGGACGGGGTTGAGGCCGTATTTGGATGGGTTGAGGGGAGAGGAGGAACGGGGGGAGTTTTTGAAGGTGTATGAGGAGAAATTGAGGGAGAAGTATGAGAAGAGGGCTGATGGGAGGGTATTGTTGAGGTATCCCAGGTTGTTTGCTGTTGCTGTTCGGAAGTGATTTTCTTCTCTTGTTTATTTACGAGGTTGGGTTTGGAGGTGCAGTGTATAGGTAGAGGACAGAATGGAGGATGCTCTGATCATGTCATCCAAGCTTCCAGTGTATATGGCAGGCATGCATGCTGGTATAATCCTAAGTTTATAGCTCGCATATGGAATAGATCGTCAGGTCCATGTAAGCCGTCACGCAGGTACATAGCTTGGCCTAGCAAGCTTATAGCTGGACTGAACCACCTCAATTGATCCTGTGATACAAATTAAAATGCATGACTCAAACAGTTTCACCAGAAATCTCGCCAGCGCTCGATCATTCCCCGGACGCCATCAAGTTAGAATGCTGAGATTGAAAGCGGGACACGAACAAGGAACGCAGTTACACAGAACCACATTACCACCTGGTTCAATGCCAATTACATAATTGCAAAATGGTACAGATCGTCAATCCATGCATAATAGCATTGTCTATGCCCCAGCTTCATCGAAATGGATCACTTACTGCAGACTCCCTCCTTCACAGCATACCCGACGGCCATCCCGATCAAGGGGACCGAATGCCCCGGAATCATCAACCCACATTCCACGCCCCCTTATATTACCACAAATCTCCACTACAATCCCCGCGTTCAAGGAACGCCCCTTAGCTAACCAAACAAGGGCGCGTCAACAAACCGACCGCCATACGGCGTAACATGCCTCATTCCGCCCTGAAGAACTGATTCCCCACCAATACCTTACTGCGGAAATCATTTACCCGGAGTATCCAGGCACAATCCAATCAAGCCATGCATGCACCCACGCAGGTGTACACAGGCATGCCTTGAAGATGCCAACGCGTTCGCTTATTTCCTCCTTCTCTCCTCTCCCTTGAAGAATCGAATATAAAATCCAGCTTGATATCCACGACAGATTCTCTTTTTCATCCATCAGCAACAATCACAGCAGCAGTCTAGCAGCCAATACTTTCTCTTCCACGACAACAATCAAAATGCAATTCACCACCTTCCTTTCCCTGGCCATCGCGGCCGTCGTTCCCGCTCTGGCTGCGGACAACGCTGCTCAGGAGAACATCGAGGTAATACCACCTCTGCACCAATCCAGCTCGAAGGAACGATGATACTAAGACTGAATAGGGCTCCGTCTACCCACTCGAGTTCTTCCACGGCCCCCCTACCTTCAACGACGGTGATGCCTCTTGCTTCACTTCGTGAGTTACCACCCCAACCTCCATACACTCCTAATCAATATCTAATGTCCATCTACAGCGTCACCGGCGAGATCCACTCCGTCAGGCAGGCTCATGGCATTACCTGCCACATCTACTTGTAAGTGCTTAATCTCAGCAGGTTTCTCACTGAGAGGAATAAATGTCTAACAAAAAATGACAGCGACCACAACTGCGGCGGTGACAGCATCCCCGTCACGGTCGACATCCCCGATGTCATTCACGACCACCACAAGCCCGCTCTCAGCGCTCGCTGCTACCGGTAGATGGCTGGTACATATGGGTAGTGTATCAGAGTACTGGAGGTATGGGCTTGAGAGTTATCTTTCTTCTGAGATAATTGGTCCTATCTGGGGAGAAAGATATAGCATAGCGATTCAAAAGTTCTACAGCGGCGGCTGGTTTATGGACTGGTCGGGCAACTTAATTATTAGTAGTTAATGAGAACTTGAGTTGCGATGTATTTCCTCCATCTTTGATGGTAATAAAGTAGTAGTAGTTGGGGCATTGGGGAGTGGATGTAAGATTTGTAGTCGTAGAAGATTCATTCACTGGCCTGCATCTGGTGATAGTACTTTGCTGAGGAGATGATAGAGATAGTCGCATACTAGACTCGGTCCTATCTGCAAGGCTGATTTCCAACAATGTGTCGTAGATAGAGGTATCGCTATATGAGTGCTTTTGATGTAGGACATCCCATTAAACAGAGAAATCTATCCTACTCACATAGTCTCTAATAATTAAACTTTCCTACTAGTAGTACCCAATACTATCACCAACTAAACTGCCATTCACTGAAGTGAATGTAGGGACAATAAGCAGTCAACAGGTAGTAATTTAGTATTGTAGAGTCAGATATATATTTATGTACTACTCGCCCGCTTTACATCATTAATTCGACGCCCATGCTAAAACCAACCGGAAGAGAGATTATTTTCTTTACTTGAACTTCTTAGACTGATTATACTGTAAATGGGAAGTATTAGTAACTACAGAATAATCTCATCCGAATCTACAGGTCTTCATGCTGTGCACTGCACCATAACATCTCGATGCGCGATCTCTACTTACACGCAACTGCACTAGACGTGCATCGGGCCGCTGCAACCCGCAGGGAGCATAACATCTCACCCCTTACGTTCATTATATAAGCACTGAGCAAAAACACGCACATCGTAATTCAGAATAAACGAAAGGGATGAACATTGTCTTGTATCTGCGCGAGTCATGCTCATATTCTGACCTGACGCGTTCATAGCCGAAAAGCTCTCTAATAAAGCCCCCTTCGTGAAGATTACACGATGTCTCAACTCTTGCCATTATTCGAATTTGACTATGCTTGACTTCCCCTAATCACGCTCTTTCTCTGTCCACTAGACTTTAACTCCGGGCTATGCGACGCGAACCTACCCTCTATCATCTCCGAAATTGAGTATATCAGCCCATGCCGAAGAGAAGGCCAAGACGTGTGACTCGAAAGGGCGAGTCTAAGACCTTTGAGAACACGGATCGCACTCTCCGGGCCGTTCAAAATACCTGCTCCTTTGACATAAATAGGAGCATCTAGCGTGCCTTGAATCCAGGACTCTTTCATATCATCGGGGACTGTTTTATCGAGCCGAAGAGGTCGTCGACTGATTTTCCGTGCTCCGTTCGCTCCCCCAGTACCATCTTCTCCGCCCACGATACAATAAGCCCAGATATAGAGACCCGCGATAAGAAAGGCCAAGTGGTGACAGCCTGGTCCTGTCGTCTCGTTATAGAGAACTCCAAACAAGGTAGTTGCTTGTAGAAGAGATTCTCGGGCTAGTATTGGATTTTGCTGCATCCAATGTGACAGGGATGTAGCGGCGGCGGTCATCTGGTTCACGGTGACTTTCCATCCACTCAAGGCATATAAACAGCGCAGTGGCGTGCGCCGGAGTATGTTAGTGACGTGAAACATCACTTTTAGGAAGGTAGGTGCGTTGTTCGATATGGATTTAAACACGGAGAAACGTTTGATCGTGGGGTCGCATTTATCGTCTAGGGCCGTTCGGAAGGTTGCTAGTTCGTCAGGCCATTTGTACAGCTTCCGCTCGTTGAGACCTGTAGCCATGTCGGCTGCGAACCATGGCTGTGTGGATCGCAAAAGACGTCTTTCTTCGATGTTGAATGTTAGGAGTATTACAAGATTGCTGAGGTTGGAGTTCTCGTTGAGTAGATCATTCAGTAAGTCTGGGTTAGAGAACGCAGTTTTCAAACTTGGCGTGTTTTCTGGTTCTAAGTTAGATTAGATCAGTTCAAAAAAAGCATTGAAGATGTGATGGCTTCTTACCTGGATTGGCAAGACTATGTTTCTGCGACATTTCGAAATCAGATGTCCAAAAAATATCTTTGCAAGGTAGAGCTATCTTGAGATCGTCAAGGGTCATTGATGAGGGCACATCCTTGAATATCCAATAGCAGCATTCAATTACTGTACCGTTAAGATAAGCTTGTGTTTCTGTGGTATATAAGGAGTGTTCTCACCATATATACAGTAGATGATTCTTCTCTGAGACTCTGACTCCACCCAGCGACGCCACTGTTCATATGTGTCCAGATCATCTGGAGAAGGTATACTGTCAGCAAGGTTGGCAGAGACTGATTTGGCGACCGAAGTGAGCATATTCCTCTGGTACTGAGACGTAAGAATCTCATCTTCGTAACCGCTAAATAAGAGACCTGTATTGCGTAGAAGAAGACACTGCGCAAGAGTGGTTTGGTCAAAAGAGATAGTTTCCGTGGCCTAGCGAGTCAGTTAAACTGAAACAGATACTGAAGTTATAGCGACTTACATCCTTCGGAAGCGCCTTCTGTAGAAGGTCCTGTAGACCTAGGATATAGAGCTCCGAGCCCACCACATTAGAGTATTGACACCCGACAGATGCCACCGCTAGAATGAGAACCCAGGAGACACCTTCCTTGTCGAAAGAGAATCGATGAATAAAAGGCATCCAGGGGTCATGGTGTTCGAAGTAGAGCTGGACCATTGCGTTCAGGAAGGAAAGGCTGATGAAAGGTGATGCACACGAGGGACATTGCTGACTTTTCCAATAGCCACAGATTTGTTGATATTGCTTGTGCGGTATGGGCCTAACATGCCCATAATTCTCAGCTGCAATTACGTCTTCATCTGGCTGAGTCTCTGGGAACCGAGTGCAGCAGTGACGGTGAGCCTGAGACTCTTCTGGCGTGAATAAATCACTTTGCGACGAAGGGATATCATCGTTGTCTTCCCTAGTGGAGACTGAGGAGACTGATCCACCTGATGGTAGACTTATATTCATGTCCACTGCCATAGCGTCGCCTAAACCTTGGCTAGGTAGTGATAACACATGTGGATGAATAGCATTTTCACTGTCGTAACCCATAGGGTACATGCTATAGTCTTCTCGATGTTGCTCGCCAGATCCCGAAGAAGCTGCCAAGTCTTCGAATGGAAAGTGACCGACTTGTACAGGCTGTTCGTTGAAAGTCACATGATCACCACTGCCACTTGAGATGAACGCAGGGTCGTCATTCATGAGGAGCGTAGAATGAACAAATTCCGGCGTCTCTATTAGTGGAGGATCCTCCGATGCGGGGATTGGCTTTGGAAATGCACATTGTATGTTTCGCTTAACACACCTACGACATGGCGACTTGCCATTGCAGCGTTGCTTCGCCTTGGCACAATTCAGGCACGCTTTCTGGGACCGCCGACGTCCGCGGGTGCAAGGTGGTTCTTCCCCATCACTTTCTCTGGAATGGGTGGCTTGGTGTTTTCTCAAAGTATCCCTGTAATCGTTAGTCTTCTTACTACACAGCTAGCGATATAAGTTGATCATATGTTGAGCATCTAAACCTTCTAGAAAACATGCGAGAACACACATCGCACCGAAACGGCTTCAATCCGAGATGGCTGAATTCATGGCGCTGGAGATGCTCTTTTCGAGCAAAGCTCTCTGGGCAGAATTCGCATGTCCATTTTCCTGACGGGCCTGGCCCATTTGTTGACGATGTCATACTCAGATATAGCTTCCTGGGTTGGTGAAGTAGGACCGGTCGCAGACTCGGAAACCACGAGCCGTACAATTTCGGGGTTCAGTGACGCAAGCCCCCACATCCCGCCACCCCACACATCACATCCCCTTATTCCTCACTTGCAACCGAGGTAATATGGCCTTGTTCGATCATCATCGATCTCTATGTAACGAAGCTTCCATTATTCTTATTGATGGGCCTGGAATCCATTCTAACTATCTGGAGTCGTAAAACTCGATTGAGATGTTTCAGATGCCTAATTGCAACTCTACTGCAGTGGATGCTTCAACGCCAGCTTCCCAAACCTTCCTCCATCTGCTATCGCTTTCAACTCCTCCAACGCCTCTTCTGCCGTCCCCTCGAATATACCGACAGAAGGCAATCGAAAGTTCACCCCATAATGCTCCACAGCCCAGATCAGCGCACGCCACGCACGCTGATAATCAGCCGGTCTTGCCGGGATCGTGATGGGGAACGGCACTTCCTGGACCTTGATAACCACATCGCTGTTAGGTGTGGCGATAGGCATTTTGAATCTCGAATCACTTTGAACAACAACGGATACAAGTGTTGCATCTTCCGAACAGCAGTCAGCCACTAGCTTCGCGGAGCTGACACCGCCCCTCTGGCTTCCAACTGCATCAAACCCGCATGTCAATGGACCCCATTGAGAGTCTTTCACGGTCGCTTTGATATCCGAAACGACACTTGAAGATTTGTAGTCGAAACAATGAGTGGCTCCGAACTCCTGTAGTAGGGAATGCCTTTCCGGGGAGGCAGTGACAATGATCGGATGGATACCACTCGCACGGGCGAGCTGGACAGCACAGAGGCCAACGCTGGATGAGGCGCCCCAGATCAACAAAGATTTGGTAGTTTTCCCTTGATTGTCATCCTCTTGTGGCAGAGGGAGATTGAAGATATTATACAAAGCATCTGCAGCAGTCATGGCCACCACAGTCAGACTCGCAGCATGGTGTGGTGGAAGTGCTACAGGGACTGGGAAGACCATGTCTTCGGGACACGCCAAGTATCGCTGGTGGGTACCGTATTTGGACGGTCGGTTAATCCCTGTAGGTGTGTATCCAGCAACTAGATCTCCTGGATGGAATGTCGAGCTGGTAGGAGCCCTGAGCACTGTGCCGCAAAAGTCATATCCAAGGATAGCGGGATAAATGCCGAGGAGCGTGGCATGTTTGAGATCGGCGGGGTTCGTTCCAGAAAATTGCGTCTCAATGAGAAGTTCACCGTCGCCAGGGGTAGGGATCTCCTGGTGTCGACGGACCGAAAACTTCACATCTTCATCCACATATAGTGCTGCATTCTTGTCTTCGAGAGGCATTGTAAGAAATCAGGGCCCAAAGCTAGGTGAATAGTGGCAAAGATAAATGTAGATAATATGGAGAGATATATTCAAGAGGTTTTCATGTCCTACAGCTGTGGACCTTAGAACTTGAGAATCTGAGCCAATAATCGACTTTTTATGATTCTCGACAAAGTAGACCAAAAATTGCACATGTGCAGGTCGAGGATATGGCAGTCTTCCTCATTAGATTCCATCGCACTAACCCAACCGATGGAGTTGGTGGGGTGTCGACCGACCCCATCGGCAAGCCCGAGCAATATCCCCAGCGGCTCCGTCGGAAGCGTCCACCGAAGTAACGTTCGTAGACCATAGATTTGCCTTTCCTTATTACTATTACAGAACCAACCATCTAACAGCTCAAAAGTTGTAAGAAATAAATATCAGTCGCCTACAAAGTAGTCAGATAGCCAAATTCAGAACTATTTGCCACAAAACCCCATCATCCAAGCGTACCAAAATGCCCATCATCAAACAACTAATCGCCCTACGGCGAAAAGCCGGAATGACAAAAGATGAATTCTTCGACTACCACTACCAAGTACATGGAGCCCTGAGCACAGGTCCTAGTCCATCCGAGACGCCTTTGTATGTCACTCTCACTATCACCAAATATACAGAAATCACACCTTACTAACACCAGAACTAGGAAATACTTCCAAACCCACTTCCTCGACACCGCATACCACCCCAACCCCGCCCAAAGCATACCAAACGCCCACCCAGCATGGGCCTTCAGCGACGGCCTCACAGAACTCTATTTCTCCTCGGAGGACCACATGGTCCAGAACTTTGCTTCCGAGTGGGTCTCAAAGAAAGTAGGACCTGATGGGGCGAACTTTTCGGATTTCAGTGCTGTGATGCCTATGTTTGTCAGGGAGGAGGTGGTTCCGTTGGCATCTACAACGTCCGAAACCTCAAAGTGGGAGCGTGCTTTCGTCGCTATGTATTTTCTCGCTTTGCGAGAGTCCGAGCTTCCAGGGGAGAAGAATGAAAAATTAGTCACCAACTTTTCATCTCTTCTCCAACAGCATGCCTCTCATGATGTACTAGGTTTGGTCGCCAATGCCCCTACAGAAGTGGGCTTTGACCTTAGTGCTTACTTTGGGGGTGGGCGGTCGTTTCCTACTTATTATGTGTTTATGGTTGTTCTACGTGGGAAGGAGTCGGTGGGTGCTGTGCGGAAGGTTCAGGGGATTTTTGAAGAAGAGTATGCTGGGGTCTTGGATTTACCAGCGACTTGGATTGGATTTGGTGAACGTGCTGTTGTGCTGGATCAGAGTGAGGGGGTGGAGGTAAGTTACTGCGTCGCTTTGGAGGTTGAGATTTGAGGAAGATGGCTGACGTTTGGCAGTTTGATCCGAAAAGACAGCCGTATAAGATGGGATGAAGACTGGGCTATGATAGATGTGTGTATCGTGCAGTATGCTGCTCTGGACCGACATCATATTATGCTTGCAGCGTTGAATGAACCGTGGTGTTATCTAGTGACAATTATACTAGCTATCGTCTTTTTCTTCTTCTCCATTTGCCATTTCTCTTTCAGAGCAAGATGAAGGCTCACGCGGCTGATTACCGTGATCCCTAGGAGGTCCTTGCATATCTAGCTTCTTGACAAAAGTCGGAAAGTGAAGTATAGCCTTTCAGAATGGACTATGTAAATAACCTTCGCAGGTTAAGCTACCCTCCAGTAATAGACAACCCGCCTAGTATTATCTACCCATTCGTCGACATACGCCGATTCAAGCCGCATGAATAATAGTCCTATCTATATACTTAGGCGAATAACTCACAACCCAACATCAAGACACATATCACCGCCTCACCCGAGGAAGAACCAGCTTTCCATGGGAGATAATGACATTATCGCCAGCAAATCTCTCCCGTACTCTATCCCCGCCCTCATGTCGCATAGGACCAATAGTACTGGCGGTATCCACCGAACCAATCTCAATGCTGACTGACTGGCCCTGGTCAAACAGGAATGCAGCAGGATACAAAGGAATAATCACAGAGTAAACTTGGCCCGGAACGATCTCCGACTTGGCCACAGCTGGTTGAGAAATGACTTTATCCTCCTTGAAACCATTGGCAACTTCATCACGATGGGAAAGACGGAAGTAACCTCTTGCGAAATTGTCCATCGGTTCGCCGTGGTTGCCATGTAGAATGATATTCTCGCCATCTGCATTGATTGCGCGAAGGTAGATAAAAAGGTCCATGTCTTTGGCTGTGGTGCTGACCTCAAGCTCTAGATATGGTGACCCTAGTAGCTCGAAGGACTCGGGGAACGAGTTTTCGAGGGAGAAGTGGAGGTTCTCACTGTAGCCCTGGTATGAAAAAGGGGTCTTTGGGCCGGCCGGCTTGCTCAGGGAGAGCTTTTTCTCAGGAGTGAAGTAGAAGGGCACATATTCCGCGTCCGCTGGGGGAAATGATGTTTCGCTCTCACGATAAATCGTGTCCGTGCCGTGGTGCTGCAGAAGTCTGATGCGAGGAACGTCAAGCATGCCGTTATCCTTGCCGAAAAGGAAGAAGTCCAAGAACTTCCTCTGCATTTGCAGATGCGCGGGTTCATAGAACGCACTTATATGGTTTCCAGTATGCATCTCAAGCCATTTATATTCTGAAGAGATAGCATTGTATGCCCGAATATTGCCAGGTAGATGGAGCTCAGCATCCGTCCAATTTCCAGCAAGGTAGAATGGAACCTCGATATCGGAAAGATTGCGAACTCTTTTCAGAACTTCCCATACGCCCTCGGTGGGATACTCGGTTTCCGCGAGCAGCTTTGGAAAGTCTACCCTGTTGGCCGCAAGCTCTGCTTCCTCCAAGTGACCATCTTTCTTCCCTCCTTGGTAGGGAATTACGAGATTCCGATACCAGTGAGATTGGAAATTGTCGCTGTAGATACCGCCTCGTCTTACCGCTTGGTAAATATCGCATGCAGACTCGTACGATACGACGCAGCTCAAGTGGGGTGGCTTTTGCATTGCGGCCCAGTATCCTACCATTCCGTAGTAACTGATTCCGGAGTATGCCACCTTGCCAGATGACCATGGCTGAATAGCGGCCCATTCGACGATATCATAGAGATCTGTACGGAGGAAATAATATCAATTATTTATTTCGGTCTAAGTTGATGAATGTAAGGGAGTACCTTGTCCCTCTGCATCTGCCTGAATCTGCAATGATCTTTCCAAGCCGAAAGGATCAAGCTTCCCTTGGCTGCCGCAAATGCCACGGCTATCAACACGAATCAACGCATAATTGTACTCTTTGCACTATAGGGTAGGAAATAAGCACAAGGAAAGCTTAGTCTAGTAATGGGTTGTCTCGTACCCAGATAGATGGATCACATAATTCAAAGCAAGCATCGGGACCCAATGGCTTAATATGCTTATACATTTCTGCATAGATAGGCGACTGAGGTAGTCCGAACGTAGCAGCATGGTTATCTTTCCCATAAGGACCCATGCTGCAAATCACAGGTACCTTCTCTCCATCTTTCGATGCAGACAGAGGGAGAAACACATCAGCGCAAAGCTCAGCCCCATCGCGCATGGATATGTATATGTTTTTGATCCGGGTATATCCGTCGACATCGGTCTCGGTTGTCTGATACTTCGGTCTAGTAGCGCTCATTCTGAAAAGAGGGGGGTATAGATCTGAGTTTTCAGGAACTATAAGGGAAAGGGGTGTATGTGAAGATTCACGTATCAGTTACAGATACGGATGTCACTGATATGCCTAGTCCAAGTATAGGTAATACATATTTTATAGTCTTGATTTTTGGGTAAAATAGGGAACAAGGTGGCGAGATCCTATGCAGCCGGCGGAGCCGATGGGGCCGTTGGAGATGCGGCAAGCTGTACGCCGGTTGCAAGGGATTGTGGGTCCGGTGCTCTCGGGAAGTGAGCGGGAGAGGACATCTACTCTTCGATAAGATCTTACTGAAATGGTTGCTGATTGTTGATCCTACGGCATCTCACTCGACGTATAATGGCTCTAATTGGAACTCAATTTACCTTTCCCTGATCTCGCTGCAGTGACTGCTAGTTGTTGCACACCATACGGGTTCACAATAAGCACTTAATCAGCATAAAGACATACTCATAAATTTCATAACGAGCGTTTCAAATAGGACAAGAAGCTGGCGCCATTAACCTCTTGCCTCGTAACATACATAAAATCATAAAAGACATTTGCATCATAGACGTCAAACCCCGGGCATGCCCTCAATCACAACCTGACCTCACTCAGTTCCCTCCGTACCACCACGAGACCAATCTCCTAGAAACTCTGGGGGGCTCCTCTGCCTCAGATCATAAAAAAGATCTAGCTCAAGCTTTTCCGGGGCAAACAATGTGTCTAGGACCACCGAGGTTGTCGTCCCAGCAGGAGGCGCCATCGCCACCTCCACTCTGCTTAGTGCACTGTAACGTCAAGAAAGAATAATCAGCAAAGAAACATCCATGTTAAGATGGGATGTGAAAGCTCGTAGCTGGAAGATGTAGGGCTGGGATCGGTAAGGTGCAAAGGGTTATAAATAACATACACTGCCCTCATTGCAGGAGCTATATGCGGACCACTACCGTCAGTGTGTGCTTCCAATACGCTACACCGTTATCAAAGGTGCAAGTCGGGTGATGGAGCTTACTAGTTTTCAAATCCGATTCGGCAGCTGGTGCCGTTGCAGCTCTGATGATATATCAGTATATGAATCTTGCTGTCTTGGGAAATGTGAGCATGAAAGGAATTGGGTATATGACTTACTCCGCAGTGAATCTTGGCGCCATCTGGGCAGCTCTGTGCAGCGTCTTCTGCTGGAGCAGGAGCGGCAAAGGCAGCCAGAGGGCCGGCGGCGAGGGCAGCAAAGACAAGAGTTACGAAGCGCATGTTGATGGGTTTTCTTGAATGGGGTATTTGAAATAAGTGGCAAGAGTTCTTTAGATGTATGAGATAGTTGATGTCAAGGCTTGAAGACTTGTGTTGAGATTCGAGCTTGATGTCCAGGAAGGATGGCTCTACTTATAGATTTCGGAGCTTCTACTGATCATGCAACGAGGCTGTCTTCCCAATAGCGGAGCAAGTATAACATCCTGGTATGCATGCCCCATGACTGCCTTTGATCGACACACATAGGATCAGACTGTGTCTTCCTTCCCTCCAATTGCGAGAAGTAAGGCATCCAATATCACCCGCTATACGACTTTGGTGCATTGATTAAATCTCTCATCATCATCTGCCCTGGATAGCGCGGCTGTCCGTTAATCATAGTCAGGGTTTTTGGTAGGCTAGATACCAATGTTTCCAAAGAAAGTCAGCTAATGGAAGAGTATCTAGCCATCCTTGACCACTGTGGTGAAGGTTCAAAAGCTGTCAGCATGTAGCGTATGTGCTGGGCATATGAGGCTCAGTTGGGTTTTTCATGCGAGTCAGCATCCGGACTCAATTAGGTTTACATTATCGAAACTTGCAATGCATCGGACAGGAACTGCACACCGAGTATACCCTGAAAGGTCTATCTTTTACCTCCTTCTTTGCACAGGCAAGTTACGAGCCAGGGACCTCTTGGCTCTGAGGCGTGGCTCCTATCACGATATCTGAGCTAGGTACCGCATCAAGAATGTACCTATGTACCCCATGCCACCAATACGTCCTTCTACTAGGGGCATGTGGGGTTCGTTGAACCTAAGCTAAAACAACCCACCAATGTGTTAATTTGTATCAACCAAGAGAATGGTATCCCCTAAAAGGACGGCTTTTAATTGAGATCCCTACTGAGGCACGCTTCCACTAAGCCATCACCATGGATAAGAAGTTCAAGGACTAAAGCGCAACATTAGAATTATTCTAGAGGAGAAAGCAATCTGTCACACCTATCAGTATGAGGCCCGGATTTTCGCGGATATGCGCAACAATTTACTATCATGTGAGATTGGTATCACATACATGATAAGATTACTGATTATTTCACAGGGTTCAGCTGCAATCTATTCTTCGCTCGTGCGAAAGAGCGACATTGGTTGATCCTCAGTCGTTGGCTTTTGGGATTGGATAAAGTTTGGTTATAGTCTAGAAATGTACGTTGGCGTTACCTCACGAGACTAGAGAGGCTGTTCGGTGTGTAGTGAGTGGTAGACATTTGATCCAACTCAAACCAGTACGGCCAGTTATCTGTACGGCATCAGCACCTGCAGAATCAGATGCCATCCCGTACTACCCACCAAATGGCCGCTGTCTGCACCGAAAAAAGCAACGTTACAGCGTACTCTAATGAGTGGCCGATCAACGTTATCGTCTATCCGGGACAATCCGAAAGGACTATCACCTTCAGCCTCGTGCAAGTCATAGCTCTGGAGGCTACAAATGAGGTTATTAAGGCACAACTGCAAGGATCCACCAAGGTATCTGATCGTCGTGCGGAGAGGGGTGTTTGAGGCTGAGGCAGGGCGGACAAGAAAGGATAACCCCGACTCCGCACTGCACTCTGAGATCTGTATGGTCGCTCGGCATTTGCTTACAACCCCTAGGAGGTCATCCATAGCTCCACCGCGTCGATCACTGATTGCCTAACTAACTAGCCTTTCTATGCAGGGTTAACGGCCCGGACCCGGAATCCTCGGACGCCTCTCGGAGGTCCGGAATGCAGCCTGATTGCATCGTCTGGGTACCGACTCATGCCCTTTTTGCTAGCATCTACCAAGAATGGTTGTCTCTACTCGCACGGATAGCAAGCGACGCTACGATACGCTGTGTGCCTGTTTTCCCTGCGCCGGAAGGGTCTTCGGGACTGCTTCTTTAGGTTAGCTCGACTATTCCACGGATACTAGTGCAGCTAACTGATTTCACTATTAACACTTTACTGCACCTCAAAGTCCAGTTTAAATCTAAGGCTGCCAAGTTTGTCATGACACCAGGTCTGGTGCGGGGAGGGGGGCCTGAGGATAGTCGCTGCTGTGCGACCTTGCAGCTATCGAACGAACGGACAGTCACAATAAGAAAGTATTGTCGCTTTCCCGATGAGGTATTTGTCAATGTTGGCTCAGCAATTTGTACTATTACAAGTAAAGCCGCTGGGCTCACTGATTCAATTCACAATTGTAGTTGAGGGCTCAGCCTCGCTCCAAATATGCCAAGACTGCAGCTCGGGCGGGGTATTGACATCTGGTCTGGAGTGTGTCGGGCCTGAAGGATGGCTGCTATCCGAGCTTACAGTCAAACTGACAAATACCAGCTGTTCCTGCTATCTTTACGGGTCGTATTAGTAAGTATTGCTCTTGAAGAGTAACTCCTGGGCTTATGGAAGGCATAGGTAAGAGAAGTGGCGGGGACAAGCTCTTAGAGAAGTGATTGAGGAAAGCTATGCGGTAGGCGATGAACTATCTTCATGCTACATAGAAGTTCTGGCAGAAACGTTCACAAAAAGCGGTTATTATTAGAAGAGGCTCGCGATGCCTTGACTTCGAGGCCCCGCTGGTGGGCTCTGGGCTAAGAAGACGGCTTGAGCCTCACAACGCATGGTATTGGGAGTTATAGCAAGGAGGGTGGACATCGATCAGAATACCATATAGTTCACATGTCGACCGAGGATATAATCCATCACCATCGATACTATGAGCGGCTGACTCCTTTCATTCAGTTATTGGAGGGAATGCAATAATTACATAAGATATCTAATTAATCTACACAGTTGGGTTGGTTGTCCGAATCAGACAATCGAGTCAACCTTTTAGAATCAATATGGAACGCAATACGTCTCCCATTATCGACAAGCTCTTCTATGCTATTCGATAATGAAAACTGCAGCATGGAAGCGGCATGATGCGATGGAAGATCGGACGGAAGTTTCTGTCCGCTATAGACACGAACAACACATATGAGGGGAATACAGCGTAGATCTCTGTGCTGTCCCCAACCTAAATACGATGTGATTGGCTTCTTTTCATCTTAGCCACTCTCGTGATAAGTATAAAAAATAATCTAGACTACTACACATAGCCCCCAAAAAGGTCCAAATTGGAGGCAGATGCGGCTCAAAATGGTCTTGGTAGCGGTCTCCCACTCCTCCCCGAGGAAACCAGACAGCCAGCCATTCTGCTCCCGTAAGACTTCCTTGACCCTCAGGATTCGAGCGGGCCCGGAACCTAATGTATAACTTGCATATGAAAATCAGAGATCAAAGCGCGAGAAGAGTAGAAAGGGGGTCGCCTAGCAGTTCCTCATACAGCTGTTTGCAAAAATGGCCGCAATGTTTATACTCTTTAAGTTCCACAAAAGATTCCTGGCTAAACTGCATCAAGTAAAGACTGGGAACTACTATAATCAGTGTATTCAACAAAAACACAACGTGGCGGTAAGATAGAATGATGCTTTACAGGTGATCGATACCACGTACAAGCCAGGCTCGTACAACTGGCACTCTAGAAGCTTCTATGCAAACTACTATATCTTGAACTCATCACGGCTCTCTGTCGACTGCTTCTCAAACGCAACGCTTGTTTCCTCCAAGCTTTTCTGTGAAGTTTCTGGCAGCCAGACAATGCCCCAGACAAGACCTATCGATGCAACAGCAAAGAAGAACCAAAACGTCCCCTTGGGCTGCAAAGCATCATCAAGCATCATACTTGGAAGGGCCTTGTAATCATTAGCCTCGTCAACAACAGCTCATTTATAGCGAAATGTAGTAAGCTTACCTTCACCAGTGCAAACTTATTGGCATAATGAACACACATGAGGAGACTTGTCCCCAGTGTACGTACTTCTGAAGGAAGAATCTCAGCATTAATCAGATATTGGATGCAATTCCATCCGAAAGCATAGCCGACTCCCGTAACGTATAGGGCAGCCACGGAACCGACAGCTGCTCTAAGCGCATTACTGGAGTCTGGCTTGCCAGCTGCATCCCAGGTTGTTATGAAGATTGCAATGTAGAGCAAAGCGAGGATCTGAAGTACGATTCCTCCTAAGAGAGTGCGTTTTCTTCCAAAGCGATCAACGAAGAAGAATGCGCTAATAAGCGCAGAGACCAATTTTACTACTCCGAAAATAGCTGTTTTGAACAGTTTTTCGGAATTCCCGGCCACATTCAACAGCGCGAAAAACTTAGGCGCGTAAGCTATGCCACTGATGTCAGCCTTATGCTTGGAGGAGTAAGGGGGTAGAAGTAATGAACCCACTTGTGATAGCATTTGTTCCGGACCATTGACTGAGAAGTTGCGCAGACAAAAGAAACATCCATCGCTGGAGATTGGCTCTTGCAAAGAGTGCTTTCCATGACCCTACAAAGGACCACTTGGACTTGCCTGTGGTTTTCTCTGGGGAAACCTCACGCTGAATACTTTGTACCTCTTCAATGATACGGGAATCCTCTGGGCTAAAACCCCGTAGCTTAGCAAGATTTCTTGTAGCCCTTGATACGTGACCACTGTAGACCAAATATCTGGGACTCTCAACGCAGCCGATTGAGAAAAGTAGTAACACCCCGGCCATCATGATATGGATACTTTCTGGTAGAATCCATTGCGTGTTGCTATCGCCAGATATATGAAGCGAGGCTCCCCACCCGGAAAAGTACTATGTTCATCAAACCATGGCATTAGCGAATGAATATTCCTCAGTTAACTTCAGACACTGACATACCCCGATTAAAACTCCAACATATTCCGATGATGCATAGAGACCGACCAATAGACCTCGAGAAGCGGTTGGTGCCACTTCGGCTAGGTAAATAGGACCAACAACACCAGCCTGGCCGACACCCATACCCATGATAAACCGACCAGCAATGAGTTGACCCATATTGCCAGCCGATGTAATGAAAACAACCACGCCGATGATCCAGAGCAGGCATAACTGCCGCATGGTCCATAGTGGGCCAATCCAGTAAGTTGAGACAAAAGCTAAAAAGCCCCCAGGCAAGCTGCCAAGGTGCATCATTGAAGTGACATTGGATAACCTGCTTGCTCTTGCTGCAGCACTAAGGTAACTTGCATGAAGCTGGTACTCCTTGATGAAAGAGGGCAGATCAACAACCGTTGCGATAATACTTTCATCCAAACCCTTGGCTGAGCCCAAGAGGCCGAAGGCCACTGCAGCGCAGATAATGTGGATATTGAAGTATTTCATGGTTAAAACAGTCCACGGATTATCATAATGCTTGATAGGTCTCAACTACAGCGAATCTAATCTTATATATGTTTGGGATGCGACCTCTGAATTTACCTCCATAGTGCTAAGTTGGAAGTGACCCCAAGGTCCTCATTCATTTAGGGACTAAGAAGCCTGGCTGGTATTCGTTGAGAACCAACTTTTATACCTAGCCGATAGGGCTAGACGTCGCGTATGTATGTCATCTCAGCTTATTGGCCTTCAGAATGATACACTGATATTTCCCAGATAGTTGAATCGCGCACTTTATGTATCTAAATTCGCCGGTTCTCAGTCCAACCCTCAAGGATTTTCATCAATGAGAAATCCCTATCTCATTTTCTCAACAAAAGAAGCTTTCCCGCAGCCGACACGCCCTCCCGTCGGACCCACGTCTGTGGCAAAATTTGAACGCAGTAGCCTTATTCCAGTGGGTCTTTCCATAGGGCTGAGGCCTCTAACTCATCGAACAGAGAGACATGCAGATGCACTAGAGTTGCCGCATACCCGATAACCACTACTATCTCCACGGGTTGTTGTGGGCTCAAGCTTTTTCAAACCAGGCTTTTGCGTAAGCCTTAAGAGCCCTCTCCGGCAGTCTCAAATCCCGAACTCAACCAATCAGAAACACGTTTTAAATGGTAGCCTGGGACTTTTTTGGACACTATATCCTCCATGTATCGCCGAGCTTGTCTGCACCCTTGCCTGCGTCCTATTAAAATGCCGGCTACTGAGGCCGCCAGCACCGGTCATTTCCCACCGGTCTCTCATTCTATTCCTCCACCAATGAGTATGCCCGCCTTGAGTCTCCTCGGATCCCATTTGACTCATATTTCGAATAAAATATATTAATGCGTGGAGAATCCCAGCGAGCTTAGGGGTACGCTAAGATGCGCAGACCTGGTTCTTCACGGTTTAGCTCCGTTCCCGGGCTGGTCGCCGGCAACGGCCATGACTGCCATCTTCCCATTCACGCCACCCCTGCTTGCCCTCTGGCAGACTATAGATGCCTGCGTGGGCGGCCTTCTTACACGTGCTCCTGTCTGAATTTCTGCCAGACTGAACTCTCCACCCAGCTCATTCGCCATGTTCGTTCCTCTTCTGCTGTCGGCGCTGCCGATTCTATCCCATGCCGCGCTCACCTATCGCGGGGCGGACATTTCTTCTCTTTTGAGCTAGAAGATGAAGGTTATAGCTACAAGAACCTTAAAGGTCAATCCCAAGCACTCGAGACTATCCTCGCTGAAGCCGGCATCAATTCCGTTCGCCAGCGTGTGTGGGTCAATTCCAGTCATGGCATTTACAATTTGGATTACAACTTGGAGCTGGCAAGCGGGTCAGGGCGGCTGGTATGAGTATCTATCTGGACCTTCATCTGAGTGATACAGGGGCGGATCCTACCGATCAGGTGAGTTGGTTCCGTTCGAGAGATAATATTCCAGTCAAGAAGAAGCCTAAGCTGACTATATCCGGGGTAATAGACAACCCCTTCCTGATGGCCCACCACCGATTTCAGCACTCTGAAGTGGCAACTATACAACTACACTGTTGAGGTTTGCAACACGTTTGCAGATAACAACATTAATATTGAAATCATCTCAATCGGTAATGAGATCCGCGCCGGTCTTCTCTGGTCTCTTGGTGAGACGAGCAGCTACTCAAACATCGGTGCACTGCTGCACTCGGGCGCTTGGGGAGTCAAGGACTCCAATTCAGCGACAACACCCAAGATTATAATTCATCTGGATGATGGCTGGGGGTAGGATCAGCAGAGTTACTTTTATAAGACTGTTCTGTCTACGGGCGAGCTACTGAACACAGACTTCGACTACTTCGGTGTTTTATACTACCTGTTCTACAGCGCATCAGTAAATATAGCATCTCTGAAGATCAGCCTGGCGAATCTGCAGTCGATCTACAACAAGCCTGTAGTAGTGGTGGAGACGAACTAGCCAGTCCCGTGCCCAAATCCTGAGTACACTTTTCCCTCAGATCTGAGATCGATGCCTCTCTCGGTCGCGGGCCACCGGCAGTTCCTCGAGAAACTGGCAGCTGTGGTAAGGGTCATTAACGATGGTCTGGGAGTGTACTACTGGGAGCCGGCCTGGATCACCAATGCTGGGGTTGGGGTCGAGCTGCGATGAAAACCTTATGGTGGATAAGTCCACGGATGAGGTTTATGCGAGCTTTGATATTCTCGGGAAGCCTTGAGAGGGGATATTGTTGGCTCTGTAAAATGGAATCTAACCGAGAGCGTAGATGTTGATGCGTGCAGAACTATTAGGGGCCTAGTCGGTACTTTCTAACTCGTTGAACGATTAGAATGAATGTTGCTGCGTCAAAATAGAAGCAATAACTAATAATATTTAGTAATCCGGTTTCCGGAGACGCTCGCTACATTACCCAGTCTCAATAATCAAAAGATGTGCTAACTATAATTACACAGAAATATGCCAGGACAAGTGAAGTTTACTTTCAATACTCCTTAAGCAAAGAAATAACCTAGAGGATAAATAGCACCTTAAATCACAGAAAAAAGCCACGTAAGAGCTATAATAGCACTAATTAGCCTAGTCTTCTTTAGCGTTTTCCAGGCTATATTTTCAATCGCAGTTAACTACTGTTAAACAGATTTCACGGACTAAGCACATACAACTAACTTGGTATATTTTGACTTCAATTCAGCCTAGTGATGGTGAAAGATTTGATTGACCCAGCGATCGCTGATAAACGTGTATTTTTTATGTTTTCTAACATCAAATTTGAGGATAGAAGGAACCCTGCAAGATATTGTACTTTCACGACTATAAGTGGATAGACTCGTGAATCTAATTCAAGTATCCTGCACTTCAAGACCAACTCATTATTGTTAGATAGCTTCTTTTAATTTGCCTCTGTTTCAGTGCGAGGTTTGACTCCTTTCAACCGTCCCTTCAGAGTGCTTATCTTGACAGCAAATGCTGCAGCGCACGCCTGCTTGGAGGGAAGTTGACCTCGATCTGAGGCCTCGCAGGAAAGTGTTAGTCTCCTATCTGTAGAAAGGCCCTCCATACGCCTGATTAGCTTCATTTTTAAATGAATTAAGCAAAGTTGAATATTGCGTGTTGTGGAGGTTTGAAGCTGTGAGCGTCGCCAGCGGCTCGTCGTCCGATTACGTTACCACTTGTTAACGTAATCGGACAATGAACCGGCGGACAACGAGCCGCCGCTCTGCCTACTAAAAATGCAACAATCGATTCAAATTAAAGTAATTCAACACTATATAGATAAATATATATATATATAAATGAGACATTGGTTTTATATAGATATTTAAACTAATTATAATCTTTTCCATTGTAATCAATATAGTATAATAGCTAGTATTAAGTATATTTAAGGCGGTGAGGGTCACACCGACGGCTCGTTGTCGCGACGCTTCGTTGTCCGGTTACGTTACTTGCTTCTCTGAACTAAACTACCGAAAGATTTAACAGAAGCGGCTTAGCGTACTTTGGATGAAGTTTCCGGGACAAGTTATAGACCATAAACATTTGCGCTATTTTTGCAAACAGCTGTAGTGCTTATTGCGGATCTTCTCCGTAGAATGGGAAGGAAACCGAATGTAATACGTATATCGATGTGAATATCTAGAAAATAGTCACTGCGATAGACTGGTGCGGTGAAAGAAAAGGTCAGCTAGCAGCCCTGGACCTGATTGTCCTCGCATTTAATAGTACACAGCAAATTCACCATGCATATTTGTATTGAATCTTGGGGTCTATATAAAAGCGGTCATCTACAGTACTTCCCCGATTCTCTTTCTCTTCTTTTCCTTTCCATCTCTCATGTCCCAAAAGCAGCAGCGGTCATCAGACCAGATGGCCCAACATCGATAAACTATTCTATTAAAAGATTGATTTAATCTCTAGATCAGCGGTCATCAGACCAGATGGCCCAACATCGATAAATTATTCTATCAAAAGATTAAATTAATCTCTAGATTTTTTAAAAATATTATTTCAAGTTAATTGCCTTCACCAGGATCAACTACTAGGAGTATACATCAAGAGATGATTGACGTGCCATGATACAAATTTTCAAATGACGATATTCGTGAGCGAAGACTTACATCCCTCTTGTGTCATCATTTCCAAAAGCATGGCCCACAAATGGCGACCCCAGTGTTGGCCTGAGCATCTTTTCTTGTCAACCTCTTCTTATCAAGAGTTCTGTATGAATATGTCTTCTTCGTTGCCTGACATCAAGACCGCGTACCCTGAGCTCAGAATGCCGGAGAGGGCGAAACTCATCGAGCAGTTAAGTATTAAGTGCGAGGTTGAATTTGTTGATCCCGCGTCCGCCGCCTGCCTATGGCTGGCCGACACTGAATGTCTCGAATCACTGATCCGAGAATCGGACGACAATAAGTTTGCCTTCCTGCTTCGTAAATTGCTAGATGGCACATTGGGTGACTCAATAGCGGCAGTTTCCCTAAGAGCCTGTAAGTACACAGTCTCATAACCCATTAGCGTCAAGCCAAAATTGACATGACAATAGGGGCCGGTAGGGGTCGGTCTGCTGCCGCGAAGAAGAGGAAGCTAGATACCGGTGTAAAGCAAGCAGCCTATTCGGAGACCGAGGACAAGCATACGAGATCGCTAGATGCTAAAAGTCTTGTATGCTAACAGTCCCTTCAATGTCACTATGTTCAATTCAATGCTAACTTCGGTTAAGTGCAAGGAGAGAGACAACGATATGTGTCTTATTACAAGAGCTGGTGTTCCCGTCGAGATTGCTCATATATTTCCGTATTCTCTGGCGCAACCGAACAGCGCTGAGACCTTGAAGGATGTCTGGGATACGGCAAGGTTTTTTTGGTCTATAGAAAAAGTCTCGAAGTGGGAAGAGGCGGTGTCAGGTCCCAATGGGACAGAGTGTTGCTCGAACCTGATGGCCCTGTGGTCCAGCGTACGTGGCCTATGGGAGAGGGCCTGTTTTGCGTTAAAGCCACTCGATATCAGCGATGACCGGGAAAAGCTGAGAGTAGAATTCTTCTGGCTTTCTGTACCATCGGCGTACCTCGAGAGGGTGGAACTAAGAACGCCTCCATCTACGTTCTGCCTCAACGACCACGGTCCTCATAATACTCGCTTATGGAATTGCGAGACTTTGGCACCCATTCGGAGTGGCGATGTTCTCACCTTCACGACCAGAGACCCAGACCAATTGCCCCTCCCCTCGGTCGATATTCTATGGATGCAATGGACCCTGACTAGGGCGTTGGCCCTGAGTGGCGCTGGAGAAGCCCGTGAAGACTTCCACTCCGATGATGACGATGAAGGTCATTAAGGCGTCGTGGTGGGACAAAGGAGGATGAGGAAGCACAGGGTTTCGTGCAAGTTCGAGCACCAGGCGCTGATAAGGTAAGTAAGGCCCGGGAAAATTCCGGACATTGACATGCCCAGGAGCACGCAGAAGGCGATCATCTCCTTCCAGGTGTGGATAAAGGCCTTGCACATTGTGATCAGTCCGAAGGCGAAGGCAATGCATGCGAATCAGATGCGTGGATCGACCTAACGAACTGCAATGGTAGACGGCAGTTGGAAGACGACACTAGCAATAGTGAAGAAAAGACAGGGACGGAGTAGCGTATGCCAATGAGATCAAGGTCGTCGGGCCTGCTGGCAACCGAGGCTGATGATAAGATGCCCGAGTCGAGCAGAATGAGACTGCGAACATCCAACATAAGGTGCATGTCGGGGCATCGGAGCAATGGCTAGCACTTGGACCCCGAACGTCAAATAAATAATGGAGTACTTTATCGTGTAGACAGGTTATCGAATAGTTTGAGATTCGCTCATAAAATAGTTCCATTAAATAGGCAAAAAAATACAACAGAAGGGAGTTGCTGGTGGTCACCCACCCAACTACTAACCTCCCGGCGTGTGGTTTAAACGCGGCCAGAAGTCAGGTGGCTGCCGCCTGGGTGAGCTAGTCTTTACTATAAATCCATTTTATAATATTATTAATTAATATTTTATAATATGGACGCAAAGATCCGGTAAAGTTAAACTATTGTTTTGTGGAAAAAGTTTTGATACTTATTAGTGTAAGAGCCGATCAAATGTGTTTTATTTGGCGCATCTAAACTAGAATGTCAAACATGAGGAAAAGGAAAAAGTATAAGGAAATATATATAAATAATAAAAATTTGGAAGATAGGAAACCGAGGTGTACGTGTTTAGTGATCTTAGTAGCAGATCCTCGGCCTTGCATTAAAGATAAAGGGCAGCACAATTCCAGGTTATTTTCCCTTATCAATCATTATCTTTGTCTCGATTTGATTGCCTCAAAATGTTGTCAGCCGCCCCAGTTCAAGTTCAAAGGTCAAACACCGACATGATGGAACAGGACAAGAAAGCGAACAATGACTTTGTGCCTGTGTACAAAAGAACTGTTCAAGTGATAGTGATATCGATAGTTATTTTCTTTGCTCCGTTATCATTCACATACTTCTTTGATGAGACACATACGTCCAACCTGAGCGACAAAGTTCTGGCCATCCTAGTGAACCCTGAATTTGCGTATGGGGAGGGCTCCGCGACTTTATCTGATACCAACGGAGGTCAAATGCGAATATTTCTGCGAAATCTTACTGCGATGGTCTCTCATCGAGAATTCATGGTCCTGAATTATGCATTCATGCTGTCAGCACCTGTTCTGAGAGTTGCATGGGTGATACTGGGCCAACTTTGGGGGGAAACAAAATATATCATCAACTTATATTCCTCTATATTCAGTGGGCCATTCTTGGTCGCTGCTTCCATATTCTACCTTCGCCAACAGCATGTACGCCCTTCGAGTTCGCTTCTCATCAGCTCGAAATTCCGCCTGGCAGCGATAGCATCCGGACTGCTCGGTCTCCTGTTCCAGATAACTAAGGGCCCAAGCTTCAACGGAGGACCTTATCCAAAGGCGTTTTTGTTGGCACTAGGTCCTCAGCTGGCTTGTTATATATTATTATTTGTAACACTCGCTCGTGCTGCGAAGCGTCGCGGCGACATGGGATCGTATACAGCTTGGATAACCTACCAAAATGGGCTTATTAGCGCACCTATGTGGAGTGTGCTTTCCCTGTATGTCGCTCGTGATATCCTGCGTTGTTCTGAGGAGAGTTTATGGATGATCACAGTGAGGGAAGGCTTTTCGCAAGGACTATTTAGCTCATTTGTTATTTATGTGCTTGCAACTTCGAAATTGGCCAACGCACGCCCTCACACTGTAAAGGCTGATTAAGTCAAGTGCATCAGGCCTATCCCCCATATCCTACAGCTTAGCATGTCATGATATTGGATTTACCTTTCTATAAACTGAATCATCGATTAGATATATTGTAAAGAAAGAGAAGTTACAGACTCATGCAAAGGTCAATATCCATAACCACCGAAGTATACTGGAGGCAACATAATTAGGGTCAAAGCAGTACTAGAAGCATATAACCTTATAAGATCAGACCAAAAAAATTACCACACAACTCATCATGGCTCTTATTCTTTGGTCCGTGCAACTGGCAATTGAATCCTTTGCCGAGTTTCCAGACTAAAGACATTCCACTTCATAATCCAGCCATCAGCCGCATCCGTTATTTGGGTAGTGGGACCTTACGTTGATGGGGTAAAAATAGGTACTTAGGGTTCAAATCAAGCAAGGTGGTATGAAAGAATGAAGAATTCATCATAGATTCCCACTGGATTATTGTCATATACAGTCAAGAATATTAGCGGTCACCAAGTACTCAAGAGATTCTTATTCCACATCCGATAACCCTCACTGAGAATTAATATATTGCCGTCTTCTCCAGTTTGTTCATCTTGATTAATATATCAAACAACTCTTTTGAGAATCTTATCGATGACATTAAGGCATTATGGGTCGCCGTATACCACGGCATTCTAGGTTCAGTTTAGCAAGATATCTTTCCTTGAGGAGATCTTTAATACACTCAAGGTTCTTGAGTACGGTCTCTGCGATGTATACAGACTAATTCAATGATTCCAGCTCGGAAAACCCGCGCAGGTATGGGTTTAACCCGCCGGCTCCGAAATAACGTCAATCTAAATAGTAGGATTTTGTAGGATTTTAAATACATATTGTATTATTTTACTTTTTTTCTTGGAACTTTAAAATATTAAAAATCAATAACCTTATGAAAGTTGACAATGCAAATTCTCTCCTCATATAGCGTTGAGTATGCTAGCTTGAGGGGCCTGGATGCTTCGGCAAGCAAAGATTATACTCTCAATTTCGTTGTAGCATGCAAGATCTTATTATTATTTTTGTTCTATTTCACATCTGATATACTCACCCATATTTACCGTCCCCTTCTCATTTTCAGATGTCTTTTATTAAGTACCACTTTTCATCAACCCATCGATATCTCCTGTAATGCTATCATAAAACATGTCTACAATGTCACACATACAGTATCCTGTGTATCCAAACGGCACCAATAGAAAATTAAAATTATTTAATCACTTTTTCATATGTTTCGCAAATCTGTCAAAGCGCCTACAGAGGTGGAGGTAACACTCCGATCGCCAACAAGAGTACAAGAAATTAGAAGTATCAAGTACAGGGGTACACATGATTGATGCGCTGCCGGCCGTCGCCAGCACCAAAATACATCCTCTGAGTCGAACTTCTGGTCGGCGGCGTTGATTATAGCGGTCACCAATCCAGTTCGAACTACTTCCAGTTTGGATCATACGCATCTTGCGGCTTTGATGTCCGTAGGCTGCCGCCTGATGCCCTCTATGTGATCTCTATGGCGTCGTCGGCTCTTTTCTAGGAGGACAACGCAAGTTCTCTTCCTCTTTCTCTCCTGCGCACTGCCTTTGTTGTTCCCCCCTTTCCTTCGCCCACCATCTCCATCAACAGAATTGCCAACGGGTTTGGCCATCGGTGATCGTTGTTCTGTTAGCTTTTGGGCTGTTCATGGAAACCTGTGAAACCTGTGCCTGGGCAGTTGGGACAAATGAGTTTCACCAACAGTGTGATGGTGTCTGCTCTTATCCTCTCTCCCGCATACGACAAGTGTAACGTCATTTCCTGGTCTGAAAATTCCTTATATTGAGGCAGAGCAGGAATGGAAGGAGGCGGACGGAGGAAGGCGGAATGGAGGAAGGGCGCTGTTCCACACAATTCAAAGAATAAGAAAGCAAAAGTGAATACATTCAACAGTACTGGCGTAGGGTTTATATGTGTTGAATATGGTGTGAGGAACAAGGTACGTATAGGTAGACTTCACGTCTCTAATCAAGCAACCTCTACGAGTGCTCTGCCTAGTAAGTAGGAAATCTGTATAGAGTGATTCCAAATCAGTTCATTTTGAAAAAAGGCCGACTGGCGCTTCAGTGTGAATTGAGTCTATACAGAAATTTCTAGTGCATGTAGCCCAATACCCAAAATTTAAATCTAACAGAAACAAGCAGCTAAAATACATCCTTTTCCCTTCCTTCAGTCTCTTTTATCTCGTCAACACGACCCCCCCAGTTGGAACCCAAGTTTCTAGAAAAGCCTTCATACAGGCAGCGGCAGTGCAGGCAGCATAGGGTTGCCAGGCCTTGGTCTTATGCGAGTCTGCATAGTCGCTCACGCCCTTGATAATCACATGTGGTATGTTGTCGGAGACGCCTGCACCCTCCATCTCAAAGGCAACAATACCCTCTTTTGTTGCAATAGTGTCGCGACGCGTGCCACTTCTCATCAATGTATCGCCGGACGCAATGGCACCAAAGTGCACACAAGGCCTGGGACGGATCTGCTCCAGTCGGCGACGCAAGACAACGATGTTGGAGTCCGGCTTATATAACACATCCTGTTCGGCGCCGGGATACTGATAGTCTTCCTTGAACTGAGAGTGACTTTGGAGAAAGCGAAGATGGGTATCCATAGCATGATGAAGTGACGCACGACCGCGGCGAGTTTTCAATTTGGCCATATGCGCACGAATCTCAGGACCGGGTCTGCCAAGCGAGTCGAGAAGCGTGTTCCTGCGGATGAACTGGTCCGGGTACTGTCGCCCAAAGTCGTACTGAACGATGCCATCACCGATGATTACATCGCCCAGTATGATCTCCTGGGCAGTATTTGTGAATGGAAGAGCCCCGCAGACACCTACTATGAAGGCAAGTTTCAGATTCGGGAAGCTCACTCGGCAATGAGCGGCAACTGCCGCAGCGTTTGCTTTTCCCATACCCGGCATGTGCACGAGTACGACGTTGTGCCTGCCAATTGCACCGCATGAATATGCATTAGGATCACTGGGATATTTGTCATATGGGGGACCGTTGTCATCCCAGTAATGGTCAAAGAGGGCATGAACTGCGTCTTGCTCGACTGTCAGGGCACAGATAATAGCAATTTCAAAGTCACTCCGTGAGGTGGGACGCGCAGGTGCAACCACAGGGAGTTGCGACACATTGCTTAACGTAGCAGCTTCAAGGCCGAGCTCAACTTGGTCCGAACTTTCGTGAGCTGCATGGCGCCGCACTCTTGCAACACGCGATGCTAGCTGGGCTCTCGGGATCGACACTGAATCGTGGTCTGGAATAGCGCGGAAATGAGGACCAGGGGCGAAATGCAGGTTTTCGAGACCCCTAATCAGCGAAGTTTCTGCTTGGATATAGTTAAAGGCATCACATTGGTATCGTAGGTGATCATCTGTAAGGTCCTCTTGCCATCTATAGAGAGATAATGTAAGCGACCATCGTCATATATACCCAGTGTTTTCGCGAGAGACTTCGGGGATCCCAGAGGGACATACTGATAGTGTCTTCTGGCATGCTCATTGGTGAGCTGAGAAAGGGCGTAACTCCGATCCATAGTAACTGGGCGATGGACATCATGATCGGCCACATTGTGCCAGTAGATTGGTTGTCTGGGTAATTGGATGGACGGGAGCAGCGGGGGAAATTGACCAGTGTGCCAGAGAGCAGCGGCCGTGTTGATTGGCACATAGTTCTGACCAGAATTTGGGATATAGTGCCGCATTCCAGTCGGTGTGCCGCAGGTACCTGCTGCCGAAAAGGGGACATTCAGGACGGGGTTTTCCCTGACATTTGCTGTGTTCCAGGGAGGTGCAACACCGTTCTGCATCAGCTGCGCTGATATAGAACTTGGTATTACATCTCCGCTTCGGTCCCTATATAAGTTTGAATGCATGTTGACGAATGTCTGTTCCTGACGGTCGAGTGGAGTGACCGGAGGGTGTTCGTGGTAATATGTGTGATAATCGCCTCGTCCAAAGTTCCAGGGCCATGGCATGGTGAGAGAGCTAAAACAGAAATATTACTTCAAAGTAACAAATGGAAGAGCAATGAAAACAATAGACAGAGATGGAGAGGGTGTTTGTTCTTCAGCCGGAAGAACACTTGGCTTGGGAGATGAGATTTTTATATATTTCCAATACATCGTGTCAAAATTTCGTCTGCGCACCGATGGGCTTGATGTATCTAGAAGGTCGGGGGGGGGGGCTTGAAAATCTTCAGAGTGACCATTTGGGAATGGGCCAATCAAAAGATCGTTTGATGACTCCATAAAAGCGCGGTGATGTGTTCAAGTGTGTCGGTGACTGGATCTTCTCCTAAGCCGCTGGCGTATACGTAGTTGTAGCCCATCTAACTGACTCCAAAATGTGCGACGAAATTATGTACCGAGTAGGTAGTTGCTGTTGATCTCCATGGCCGCGGCCTTGATCTCTATGAGAACTTGGGAATCAGCCAATTAGGGCCACAGTATGATGGGAGGACTTGGAAAGCAACCAATGAGACCTAGTATCGGACAGCTGTTAAAGGATGATTGAGAACTTCGAAATCAGCCAATAAGACCTATCGAAGAGCATGGCATGGGTGAGAACTTCGGAAGCGGCCAATGAGATCTTCTACATTCCTGCGCCACACCTGCGGGCACGCCCCCGTGCGTGTGCGTTGGTCAGGTATGAAGTTGCCTGACGCACGACAAGGCTGAGGACGCTATGCATTCGCCGAGAAAAGCTGTGGAAAAGCAAAGTTGGGCCTTCACCTTTGGCGTTTAAGGCCTGTATATCCCCCGCAAGTCCTTATCATTAACATCCTCTCAAACCCCTGTGAATCTGTCAATCAAAATGGCCAACCAGCAATGGGATACATACAAGAGCGAGATAGAACGACTATACATTCACGAAAACCGAAAGCTGGAAGACGTAATGAGCTATATGGAAACTCAGCACTCGTGGAAAAAAAGGCAAGCACACTTTACTAGGCTTCCTAACATCGCAGCTGACCAGAAATTCAGCAAGGCATCATACACTAGACAAATCAACAAGTGGGAATTCAGAAAACACTCGGAGTCTAGAAACGATGAATGGATTTCGAAACGAGTGGCCAAACGGAAGCGAGACGGAAAGGAGAGTGAGATTTTTATAGACGGGCTTCAGCTTCATCCGAAGAAGATCACCAAGGCGAAGTACGGAAAGGGCTTCGTGTCGACCATAGCGCAATATGGTAAGTTGAACCTCGGATCTCATCTGAACTCGAAAGTGACCAGTTTCCCAGCACCTTCACCAAAAACCCCGGAGGGCTATCTTGTAACAACACCACAAACAACGGGGATGTGCCTCTCGTGGGACAGCTCTTTGCCCTGGCTGCGGTTCAAGAGCTTCATTGACATTGATCCCCCAAAAGAGCAAGGTGAGATGCGTTTGACACACACACACACACACACACACATACGAGCTTGGATGTTAATATAATCAAATTATCAGCACCTTTTTCGCCATCCTCTTCTCTCTTTGTGGACTCGTCGCGCTCTGGCAACGTCACCAAAGGTGCCAGTTGCGAGTTGATGCAACGCTTGAGCTCAATCATACCCTGGACTAAACCTAAGCATCTTGAGAATATCTACAGTGGGTCACGTACATCAGCAGCTCTGAGTATTCTCATGCCAGAAATGGAGAAAGGGCAAATCGACAGATTGGGAACAAACCTGAGTACCTTGCGATCGGACCTTAGAGATCATTTGAGTGTCGTGTTGTACCTCATTTCCAATAACTTGATGTCCCCCGATAGTAATGTGTCGTTTGTAAAGGGGAAGGAACGTGATGCCAAATTAATCCTAGGATTGCTCAAAGATAGTGGTTGGGGTGATCTGGATCATCTCAGGATTTTGCTATCAACCCGTGAGCCCACCGCCGAATCTATCGCAGAAAAGGTGTTTGAAAGTGCACTCCGGACAAGTGATTTTGAGATCATTGAAAGCATGCTTCGGTCTGGCATGAACCCAGATGGATTGATTGAGGCATTGACAGAAGAAGTGGACGGCATCTGCTTCTTGACTCCTTTACAATTTGCTGCTGAGCAAGGGAGTCTTCCTCTTATCGATCTTCTGATCAAGTACGGTGCCGACGTGGAACATGGCTTTGCTGATGAGCTTGGTAAAACTGCTCTGTATTTTGCCATCACAAGCGCAAACTGTGCGGCCATTCGGGGACTCTTTCTGCGAGGTGCAAAAGTGACACGAGATTGTGCCCGTGCAGCTGGGGGACTTTTTCTTCAAGATCCGCAAGATTGGGATCTGATTGAGGAGATGGTAGAGGTCTACCTTAAGAAATATCTGGAAGCTGGAAACAATGATCCAGATCTTCTTGTTCCGGCGGTGATAACTGGAAATGAGTGGCTTATTGAGCTGTTCCTTGACCGAGGTGCAAAGTTGAATGGATTCATCACGTCAGGGGATTACATCGGACGTAAAGACCGGAAGTATTGCTTGCTAGGCCTTGCAGTCAGGGAGGGTGATGTTGGTATTGTCCGACTTTTGACTGGCCGTAGTGTTGGCCCAAACCAACTCCCTTCCTCGCTGCCCTATGTGTTTCCACTGACCCTAGCAGCTATGACCGGCGAAACTGAGATAGCTCAAATTTTACTTGATTCAGGCGCTGATGTCCGAGCTGCTGACGAGGGAGAAACTACCCTACTCGAGCATGCCGCTCAGAGGAGCGACTTTACTCTTTGCCAAATGTTGATCAAGCATGGTGCCAGGATTGACAGAGAGCCATGCGATGTGCAGAAGTCGCCATCAGCTCTTATGACTGCAATTAAGAAAGATGACGCGCACATAGTTGATCTTTTGATCAACTCAAACGCACGAACAAATGATCGCTTCGAAGTGGCTCCAGGTAGCGTCCTTGCAGCCGCTCTCGAAGTTGGAAATGATGCCGTGATCGACAAGCTAATGAATGCCGGTGCTAATTACTTTGGAATCAGAACGAGGAAAATCGGGAACCTGCAGACTGCCATCCTCATGCAAGAGAAAGAAGTCTTAACAGACGTCCTCCATCTATCCGGCCCTCGGATTCTTGCATCTGCTATACTAGCTGGACATGAAGGCCTAGCATACTTCTTGCTCCAGAACACCGCTCATAAGGAGCACGAGCCTCGGCATACCTTCACCACCTCAGGTCAGAAAACCCCCTTGGAGGCAGCCATCTTAATGAATAATGTGAAACTTGTACAAGCTCTTCTGGAGCGTGGTGTTGAAGTAACAGACCATGCTCTCACATATGCGATACATGAACATATCGGACTTCTACCAATGCTACTAAGAAACTTTTCGGGGAGTGCTCCAACAGCAGTGGCAGCTTCTTTGATGGAACCTTCAATGGCTACGCTAGAGCTACTTCGGGAGACAAACGTGGACTTTACAGGAGCACCTCAGCCACTCGCAACCAGATCGACGTCCTACACCTGGAGGAAATTGTGGGGGGATGACGTCAAATCGGTACTTGAATTGGCAGCTGGTTGGAATGCCAAAAGCACTCATCTCACATATCTTCTCGATTGGGCAGCCGCGGCTGGGATACCGTGGCACCCAACGCTTGTGTCCCGTGCTCTAACCAGGGCAATACTATCAGGGAATCATGACCAGCTGGAGGAGTTGATGCAACTTGACTTCGATTTGAGTTGCGATATATGGTGCGCAGAAGACCAATGTAATTATAGTCCTCTTCAAGCTGCTGTCCAAGCACAATTGGTGTGGGTCGTTCGTGAAATGTTGATGAAAGGAGCTGGTGTCAATTACTTGGGAGACGGTCCCTTCAGACGTACGCCGTTACAGATCGCTGTCGAGAATGGAAACATGGAGTTATTCAATATTCTCCTGCATCAAGGGGCTGATGTCAATGGCCCCGCTGCCGCGAAAGGTGGTGCGACCGCTTTACAGATTGCGGCCATAAACGGATTCATCGGCATTGCCCAGACGCTGCTTGACCTCGGCGCAGATGTCAATGGAAAACCTGCATTGTATCATGGGCGCACCGCTTTGATGGGCGCTGCCGAGCACGGACGAATTGATATGTTACACTTGCTGCTTGACCGAGGAGCACTCATTGTGGGTGAGCACCAATTCTCTTTTGATGAAGCCGTAAGGCTTGCGAAAAATAATGGCCACTATGCTGCAGCGAGACTATTGGTCTCTTTTAAGGACTCGCTTGTAGCAACCGGAGCATCGGTTGAGGATGAGGGTCATGATCAGTATAAGTATGAGGACGAGGACGAGGATTATGACAACTATGAGGACGAGTATGGTGACGAGTATGTGTTTGAGGATGGCTTTGAACAACCTGCCGAGGTCGCAGGGGTAAGTGACTCTTCCGCTGCAGTTAAACCTTTGGAGACTTGCTTGAAGCAAGTCTCCAAAGAGAGCGCCACATGGCAACTAAACATCAATCTGACTGCATGAACAGGACCTGGATGATTATACTCAAAACTGGTGGTAGTTCTTTACATTCAGACAATCATCTGTGCGTCAATATTACTTCATCGACTCCTGCGCTGTTTATTATGTGGAGACAAAAGTTTTCTTCCTTCAGAACTTCCAGCCTCTGCCAACTCTGGGTACAACAGATGAAGACCGCGCTTTTACTGATGTCCTTTGGGCGACCATGGATCTCAGGATTGTGGCAATCAATGACGATATTTTTTGGGAAGGATTGTCCGTTGATGCACGTCCTGTCATCGACTTGGCTGATCTTGCTCTCTCCTGCCCTGTTGCAGGCGTCGCACATCCACCACAACTTGAAGCACATATTTGGCTGCTTTTTCTTATAATAATAGGCCCTATGCTCTACCAATTCCTACTGAAACATCAAATGCAATTCTGTTTTTCCATCGTACCTCCGCATATGCATACAGGCTGGAAACCCTCAAACGGGTTCGTCTCGCTCAATTCAGATTGAACAGAAATTGCCTTTCTTCAATTCAACCCGTTCTACTCTGAACATATCCGACGTGGGAGTTGTCCAATCCTTGTACGGCTCGATAAATTCAATCTTGGTGCGTCAGAGAACGGCTCGAGTCACCTTATAGGTGTCATGATCTTCCAGATTAATTGTGTGGTCGAACGTTGATACGCCTGTTCCTGTCATATTGTCCAAGTTCCAGTATGCAATTACTCTGGGGCGCAATAGCGGTATTGTTTTTGAAGAGAAAAGAAGGACTACCTAGATGTTAGAACTTTCACGCTTACGGGAAGAGAGGGTTTATTGGCGCTTCTTGGTTTTTCATTTACTTCATTCACTCAGGTATGACTTCCTTGTATTCGAGTAGATGAACAAGGGCCTGAAGTGCCCTGAATAGGGAGACAAGCCACCTACGCAGTGCCTAGTTGCCTTAGAAGGCCTCGGCCTATTCCCTCCTCTTTAGAGCATTTAATCTTAAGGCCTATATGATATGTTGCCGCTGAACAGCAAAGCAAGAAGAAAAGCAACACACATGCGCGCCTCCGAAAGCTCGAACCCTCCAGATTCATCCAATTGTTTCGCTCACCCAGAGACGCTTATATGAGATAGGATCTCGAAGCCGACATTGATCCTGCCAAGCTACATCTGGCGGCCACTTCACTCCCCCAAGCTTCCTATACACAAACAAATCCCGCTCCCCACCATCAGCCTGAGGTGTACACCTCAGACGAAACCACGAGCCGCAGACTACGCAGTCAGTATCTTTCTGAGATGGATGGAACGCCCAAGAAAGTAGACTCTGGTGGGGACATGCGAAATATGGCTCTATTGAAGCCGGGCGAGGCCAGGAATGTAAGGCAATTTTATAGTCTGTTTGCGCCAGAAGAATCCACTGTTGATGCTCAGCTCCATAGGATAACTGAACTTTTATATCAATCTGGGCACCTGGGTAGAAGATTACCCTACAGTGGTGTACCTGTACACAACGGCACTTTCCGACCAACTCTGGCGGGAAGCGTGGATTCCCTTCCCACAGCAGCTGAAATCGTGGATCCTGTTTGGGTGGTGTGAAACCATTTGTTTTCGAGAAGAAAGTTTGGAACAGACGGGTCTTGTCTCGATGCGTGAGACTGATACAGGGACAGAGGTCAACGATTCCGGCTCGTGAGTGGCAGGTATTGTCATCCTTTAAATGGGTCCATGGGTGTAGCTTGAGGCATGCCTTGCAGAAAGCCCACTTTTCATTCTGGAGCTGATGCAGAAATATGTTACGAGGTACCCTAGCTTGGTCAAGACTGATAGTGGGATCGAGGTTTTTTAACAAACAGGGAAACTGGAGTCGGTGATCTTCAATTATTGGCTTGTAAGTTTGGTAGAGTTCCTGGCATGTTAAGACTAGACAAGCCTTAGATGGAAGAGGTAAAAGCCGCAGGATCTTTCCAAGGAGGTGAGGAGGAAGGCGGAGGAGCGGTGGTAAGTCTGGCTTTGGTGGTAAATCTGCGGTTTGTGAAAGCCTAGAGTACCTCCTGCGAGTGCTGGGAAAGCCTATAGCGGCCATGAGGTTACCAATGAATGAAGTCATGATGGTAGATATAGTGAATATATTGTAAAGTAAAGAGATGTCAAAGGTGAGAATAGTGAGAAGCCCAAATACACAGGATGGGAGTGAATCTTCAGTGAGGGTCAGTCGAGTCAAGGTTAAACGTCAGTCCGGATGGTTTGCCCGGCAAGGCTGCTATATTGCATCACACTGACCCCTGTTGGAGGTAATACTCCTTGAACCTTACTACACTTTCACTCACACACTTGAGGCTGTTTCATTGCTTATATAAAGTGATGATTCTGCTGCAGCATGCTTGGTCTGCGCATAGATAGTGCGTACTGGCCTGGACAGGTATAAGAATTCATTTAAGAGTGGGTTGAATCCGGCTTGAACTCGATATTGAGTCATCCATTATATACTCCCTGTGTAAATAAATAAGTACATACGACCATAGGGTGTGGAGAATAGGGCTTTCCGTCTGCTCAGCTGTACTCAATCCACACGCCAGGAGGTTAGTAGTTGGACGGATAACTACCAGCAAATCTATTCTATTATATATTAGTATTTACCTGTTTTTTTTTTTTTTTTTTTTTTTTTTTTTTTTTTTTTTTATTTTTTTTTTTTTTTTTTTTTATTTTTTTTTTTTATTTTAGATTTAGTACTGTTACTACTTTCTTTTTATTCTATTTATTCTTCTTTAACTGAAACTCAGCTGAACTGCCTGAATCTCAATATTTTATATTTACTAATCCTACTTATTCTTTATTTTACTATCCGTAGGCATTTGACAATCAGCTATGAGGAATGAACGTTATTTTTATTTTTTTATTTTTTTATTTTTTGAATTGAATTTTCAATCATCTGCGTATTGCATCTACTATCAATAACTTGAAGACATTGACCAATGTCTGCCAGTGAACTTTAGAGCCAAGGAAGCTACTAGAACAGAGTATGTATATGCCAGAAGGTCAAACTTGAAAATGAGATCGAAGATTAGTACTAGTACGGGCATATCACTCAACAGGTTCAAAGTTGATTGATTTCAAAGCATGAAATATTGTGTAAAAATAAAAAAAAGAAACGCCGAAGTACTGAGTGATGATACCAAATAGTAATGACAGACTGAATATTAAACATTCTTGTTGATCAGACATCAACATCCCGAAGAGAGCGCTTCGTCAACAGCGTCAGTTGCGAGAACCAAGTCGGATTCCCCAAGACATCCTCAACACTAAGGACATATCCTTGCCTCTCCATGTGAGCTGATATCAGACTAGCGCTTACCAAGTCACCACCAAGATCAAAAATTGTCTTGCCCGCTTTCACCTCAGGACTAAGGCGGCAATTGAAAGTGTCCCTCCACGCACTCTCAAGCGCCCATTGCATTTCAGTCGGGCTAATGCTAACAACCATTAACTGTTCATTTGTTGGGGTTGCACTGAGAGGCTCCTCTGAGGGCAGCAATGTGGTTGTCCACAGATATCTGATCTGGTCGGGAGATAACAAAGGCTGGTCCATGACATTGCAGAAAACGATGATAGACTCCGTCAGTTTCGCAGCCAGCAGTTCAGCGTCACGCTCAGACACCACGCCATGTGCGAAGTCCAGCTCAATTCGGAACATGTTGTTATCAGGCTTAGAAGTGATATGAACGTCGGTCATGTCCACTTTGCCGTGAGACAGATCTAGCTCCTGCTCAACGTGCATACTGCGGTTACGAGCAATATGTTCTCCATCGTCAAAGTCATGGTGATAAACGATGGATCCTGCATATGTCCACTTCGGCCATGTAGTGCAGTCACGGACAATTTCGCGTGTGCCTATATTCTCATGCTCCATGCTCGCAATCTGTTGGGTGTTCAATGCACTGAGAAGGTCGCGAACAGTCCATCCGTCGGTAAAAGATACTCGAGTAGGAATGATGTTCACGCAGTCTCCAAAGACATCTTGTGTCCCGGGCAAGCCCCGACCGTGAGTGAGGCTACAGAAAACCACGTCGTCGTTGGCAAGGTGTTTTGCCAGAACGTACGCCCAAGCAGCCTTCAGTACAGTATGAAATGTAAATCCAGTACCTTGAGCAATGCTCTTAGGAACATGTCTGGCGACACATGGTCCTTCGCCAAAGGTCAGGGCATATGAAGCATGGGGCTTGAGGTTCGTCATGCTAGAGCCCTTGAGGAGTCTGCGCCAGTGAGACTTAGCTTGCTCCCGGTTTGTACCAGCCACGGCATGCATGTAGTTGGAGAAACTAGCCTTAGACTTTTCTTGGAAGCTAGTGTCCGAAGGAATGTGGAATGAGTCGTCACTCCCGTCACCGTACATTTCTTCAAATGCGTTCCACATTTTCATCAAGCTCATTCCGTCATGTTGAGCATGGGAAATGCGGACCACAAGACGGTATTCGTTGTCGCGGATTTGATGCAAAATAGCAATCTTTGTTAGGAGCGAGCCATAACGGAGCTCATCGTCCCTGTCGCGTAATCGTAGCTCTTCTGTGCATTCCTCTAGGCTGGCATTCTCAATTCTCAAGACGGTTATATCCACAGGAAAGGCCTTCAGCACGACCTGCAAGAAGCTGTCTTTATGTGCGATGAAAAGGGTTCGCAAGAGATCATATCTATTGACGAGCTCATTGCACACTGCTCGCATCTTGCGCATATTTGGCACGCCCTTGCTATCTAAAGTGTGATAGAGTAGCAAGTCGCGGGACGCAGAGTGAGTCATCGCGATGGAACGAGCTTGATGATCCGTGACAGGGAGGATGTCTTCAACGTTTTCCAAGTCAATACCAAAGTCAAAGAGTCGAGAGAGTATCTGGTCTTTGTTGTGATCTTTGGACAGAAGCGAAGTGGGTTGAAATACCCGTGGCTCTTCCGACTGCGGCTTATCCACAGAACGAAGCAAAGCAGCCATTTCGCTGAACTTAGGATGCTTGAAAATATCTACAACGGAAAGCGATAGTCCGTGGTCACGGGCCGCGCCTACCAGCCTCATAGCACCGATGGAATCTCCACCAAGTTCGAAGAAGTTGTTTGTAGTGCTAATCTTTCGCGATCCTAATTTGAGAACTGAGATCCAGAGCTCCCGAAGTGCCACTTCCAAAGGAGTAGTGGGGGGTTGAGATTGCTGTTGAGCTTGGTTGATTGAGGTAAGCTGCTCCAGGGTGAGGCTTGAGGCCATTTCACGTAATCGGTGCCGATCAGTCTTCCCAGTAGCTGTTGTGGGAAAAACAGTAACAGGGATGTAGATCGAAGGAATCATATAAGATGGGATTTGTGTCGCGAGTTTCTCCCTAATTCCCTCGGTCGCCGCTTTCGTGCGGGCAAGAAGCTTTTCATCATTCGGGTTGATAGAATTCAGGTCGTCAAAGCTCACGAAGGCGACAAGTATGTTGTTGGAGCTAGCTTGGGGTGACACAACCTCGACCGCAACCTGAGCACTGCCATGACTCACCAGGTTTGCAGAAACGTGCGACTCGATGTCGCCTAATTCCACGCGTTGCCCGTTTATCTTGATTTGAGAGTCCCTTCGGCCCACAAATGACAAGCTACCATCGGTATTATAGGTGACTAGATCGCCCGTCCTGTACAGACGACCACGGCGGCCTGGAATTCCTGGACCAGCACCTTTGACTAGGAATGCTGGATCTTCAATAAATGCTGAGGCGGTTTTGACAGGGTCTCCGAGATAACCAGCACCAACAAGCGGACCTTCGAGTAATAACTCCCCAGGGATGCCAATCGGCATTAAATGTTGTGCAGTAGCAGGATCAACAATCCAAGTATTGAGTCCCACTCCTTTGCCGATGCTCACTTTGCCCTTGCTTATTTCCGCAGAATTAATCTCAGTAATTGTCGACGTCGGTGTGCATTCGGAAGGCCCGTACGGATTACGCACGCTTGTCAGGGCGGACCAGCGTTGGGCATATTCAAGTGAGAGCTTCTCGCCTCCCAGAACAAGGGTATCCAATTTAGCCAACGTACTGGCAGGTAAGACGCTTGCGGCCGACGGGGTCATATCAACGTGTGTACACCGTAAGCGGTCAATTGCGCCCGCCGGGTCATTTTTACGATCATCATCAGAAGGAATGCATAAGCAGGCCCCAATGGTCAAGGTGTGCAAGAAATTGGACCAGCTGACATCGAACGCATAAGAGGCAAAGTCAAAGACCCTAGAGGATGGCTTGAAGCCGTGTTCACTCTGCTGATGCTTGATGGCGCTGCTGTAGTTGGTATGAGTGATAATGACACCTTTTGGCGTGCCAGTGCTCCCTGATGTGAAGACAATGTAAATACTGTTTGCGGGATCGACTGCAGCCAGCGGCGTATCATCAGCCATCGCCTTCATGCTGGCTTTGTCTATAGCCAAGACGGGAGCCGTTGTGAGCCTGGCTGCTAGCTTAACCTTCAATGTCGAAGAGATCACAAGTTTAGCATCCACCTGTGCAACAATAGACTGGAGCCGTTCTTCAGGCTGGCTAGTATCCATCGTAACAGAGGCTGCACCTGTTTTCATAACTGCTAGCATGGCAACTGGTGTCCATTTTGATTTTTCAAAACATAGCGGGACGATGCTGCCTCTTCCGATGCCCATCTTGCTGAGGCTATTGGCAAGGCGTGTTGCAAAATTATCCAGCTCCGCATAGGTGAAATCGCCGTCCCATGAGCAAACAGCTGGTGCATCAGGCTGGCGGAATACTATCTTGGAGATCAGATCGTGAACGCAGATGTTGACCATGTCAGGAACAGTGGAGTTCCAGCTCCAAATATCTTGCTCATCTTGGGGGCTGATCAGAGCAGGTGGCTCATTGTGAAGAATAGCGGCAATGTTTGACTCCAGATGCTCGAGAATGCGTTTTGCCTGATTACTAGTGAGACAGCTGTGTGAGAATTCAAGGTCAATTTCGATGGACCTGGTTCCTTGGTTGATACCCAATACGATGTCGTACTATAAAAACATTAGTCCAGATGTATACACTCTCATGCTCAACAATCCACTGACTTCTGTTGGGTCCAAACCATCAATATTCTTGAATCGAAGTTTACCCTCCTCTGCTGATTGTTCATTATCGTCTCCTGACCTCTGAAAAGAGACAATAGAGTTGAAAAGCTGCTGATCGGACGCCAGTCCAAGCTCATGTTGAATGCTAGCAAGCGATATATGTTGGAAGCTCAAGTCCTGCAATAATTGATCCTGAAGTTGTCGCACGAG